ATTGCCTTTTGAAAAATATAGTTTGAAGTCTTAACTCCAAATTGAAGACGAGTCCATCTTAGTAAGCCTAATATTAATTGTAATGCCTTCTTTAAATTATCCGTCAATTTCTCTGCTAATTTCAGGCCAAACTTGCCAAACTATTTCATTCCTGCTAATTCATGAATTGCTGTTTCTGTTAGGTAAGGGAAACGAATCAGAGCATATTCGATGATTTGCATCTACTTTGTAACCACCGCATATCCTCAAATCGCCATTAGGCTTTCGTATCGCAACAATTGGTGAACTGCTACCATATTGGGTAATTTTCTCCAGTATACCTTGTTCTACCATTTTTTTAAATTTTGCAATTATCATGGGTAGAATGCGAATAGTTATATTTCGAGATTCAAAATAGATCGGTTGACTATTTTCTTTTAGACGAATACACGCTTTATATCCTTTCAATAGTCCTATATCAGGTTCTTCTGACTTTATACAATTTAATAATTTCGCTGTAAAGCGTCTATTCCGAAGAGTCCATGATTTCTTTATGCATTCCACAACCATAATGGGAATAATCTCAAAACAGCTTTTAATCTCGAAAGTTCCTTCAAAGGAGCCTAAAGTTTTAATGACAGATCAAATCAAATTGTTTTTTAATTTGGGTTTACCCATTTTTTTCTAGAAATTCCTTGGATCAAAGTAACACCGCTACCCGCGTCAACCTGCATGGAAAAAGTTATGCCATTCAATTTTACTGTCTCTCTACGGTGGAGTAATGGATAGCGGCTGGATTAAGGAATCGGAAAACCGAGTTCGAATTCCAGTCGAATCAATTACATTCACTTACGTACTAATACCCTTGGGAAAGGTATGAATCCTCGTCTTCTCCCACCAGCTATGAGTAAATAGTAGAACAGACCTGGTTCTATGGCCTTTGATGGCAAGTGGTCTCCGCAGAAAGAAATGGCAACCTACTGCGGGAAAAAAAATCTGCCTCGTCAGTCATGTATCGAAAGATACATGATCGCCTAAGCGTGTATCACGCATGGCACATAACTGACTGATGTTCAGTAAGAGGGTTTATACTTTCTAGCCTTCCTATTCTTTTTTGTATCTGCACACAGATTGAAAATGGTCTTTTCTTTTACAGTTTAAATATAATTTTCCTTTGACTGGACATTTGTTTTTGTTTCTTTAGTGTTTTTTGTCGCAGTATTTGTAATTAATTAGGATTTTAGTCGTCTTTTCTGCTTCCACAATGTCCTTATAATTATTAGATTCATTAATTAATTCTAATTGCTTCAAGCATTCTATACTTGCTTCTAAATTCATATCATTCGCTTAAAACTGTTCTATGATCTTAGTGTGTGTATGTAACATGCCTTCAATTAGTTTTAGCAGGATTAATTCGTCTTCTATAGGCATTTCTCTTGAACCCAGTTTTTCACAGTCTCTATATCTTAATGATTCTTTCAATCTGAGTAAATATTGCATTACGGTTTCATTCGGGTTCTGCCTATTTTTCAGAAATTTTATTTCTTTATTCATTTTTTTTTCCTTTTTTTTGTCGGGTGTTTCTTTTTATAATGGTTGAAATTTCCTCATATGTTAAGTCTTCCAGTATTTTACGGTACACCATGATGAATATTTTCTTTATGGCTTCATATCCTCTCAAAACCAAAAATAAATCAGTTATTATATTCTTCCCTTCGGAAGCTGTCTTGTCTTTCAGTTTCTTTACTCTAGCCAACGCTGCTAAACATCTAAACCACATTTCTACGTGATGTGGTTCATACAACGCACTTAGGGATCCTATCGGCGACGCCATGTTGTTATGAAGTAGAGTACTCACTGGATTAGACGTTGTCAGGTTAACAGATGGAAGATTTATTTTTTCGTTAAAAACAATTGTTGCGCGAAGCCGAAGGTGAAGTAGGGTAAGACTTGTCAACATTAACTATCCTAAACCTAGCTAATCCAATTCACGACCCATTCATCCATTACAATTTACGCATTCATCACAAGAACTCATCAATCAGCATTCAACCCTGCATATACCACAATATTCACATGGAAATCTACAAAAATAAATAAAACATTCAAACAAAACTTAACAGATGTTAGTAGGACCCGTTCACCCCACAAAAATGAGAGCGGCCGCTGTATTCTGCCTACAGACAGAATCAAGCAGCTTACTCACTAACGGATGACGAAGTGGGAAATCAAAGACTTGACCCAGTCGGGATGAAAAAGCAGAAGGGACACAAACTGGGGAGATAGGGAATCTTGACATGAACCATAACAAAAGAGAATGCCGAAACAGGCCGGAAACAAAACTTACTCACATTAATTAAGTAAACAAAGAAAACCGGGGGGTCACAGGAAACAACCCCGTTGCATCAAAGGGGACTTTAAAAAAAGAAAATTAAGGTTTGTTCCGTTCACACAAACCAAGCTCTCCACATTTACCCACTTTCCGCTGATACCTGTCGATAACAAACGCTTTCTATCAGTTCTGATCTTCACCTTAAGCTGATGCACAAAGAATCCGACCAGATCCAGATTCTCTTCATCCGCGACGTCCACACAACCATTCTTACCACGTGAAAAACACCATTCGTTTCACCCCCAGAAAACGGGGGCGAAACATTATCGCATGCGTATGCGAGATCGATGGACACGGAATGTTCGGGATCGATACGAGCCGTCAATACGCCTACATAGTCTCAGAACTGGCACACCTGAGGACAATGGTAGAAGGCATGCGAAGCCGTTTCCTCTAAACCAAGGTTACACAGATGAAAGCTGGGCAAATCCGCCCAGCTCTCTCTGAAAGCTACGTCACTGACCAGCCGAGCCGAGCCGCCCACAGAGAGGATCCTTCGCGACCCCGCTCTACTAATTCACGATACAAGTCTCTGAGGCCGTGAAAAGCCACTGGACCGAAGAGTGACCGTCAAGGCTGCCCTACACTTTCAGAGGAATCTCGACTAATTCCGGAACTTGCAACGGCGCTCAGCCCCAGAAACGAGAAGAGCGATTGTAAGGGTATGGAAAGCGCCCCTAACACTTTCCTCCAAGATCGAGTCCTGTCAACTGCATAGGAAAACCAACCTCGATGCGTGCTGATTCCACATAAAGCCGGACTTCACCCCCTGTCCCTCAGCCGGTGAAGGAAGGACTCCAACGCCAAAATGTAAAGTAGGGTCGACAGCTAGCAGCCCTATCGGACCGACCGTGACAACGCAAAAGCGCTCGACCGCTTTCTGCTCACCTGTATCACAGCACTGGGGAAGGGATACAGGAGGCTGACCCACTTGCAAAAGTCGGGTTTGAATCCAGCGGCCTGAAAGACAGCAGCCAAGTACTGATGGTCGACACTATCGAACGCCTTGGACTGATCCAAATTGATCAGTGCGGCTTGATCGTCGTTTTTTACACCCTTTAGGATCGTATGAATCAGATGAAGGTTGCTCTGAATTGTTCGTCCCTTCACAGCACAAGTCTGCTCGGGTCCCAGCAAACTCTCGGCAACTGACTGCAAACGCTCCGTCAGGCTCTTGGCCAAAATCTTTAAATCTGTGTTTAGCAGAGTTATAAGCCTGTAATCATCTAAACCCCACCCACCACCTTTGTCCTTTTTCAACAGTGTGATCACACCCCCGTAGATCCGGTTGGGGACGGACCTCTGCCGGAACCAGTTGTTAAATACGACAGTCAAAATCGGCACAAAGATGTGCGACAGCCTCAAGTACAATTCGTAGGGAAGACCATCGGGTCCCGGGGACTTGCCATTGTTGATCCTCTTCCATGCCAAGTAAACTTCGTTTTCTGTGATCTCACCCTCGCAGCTAGCCGCTTCCGTCGGTTCAAGCCGAAGAAAGTCTGCCAAATAGCTGCGAAACTCTTTCTTCGACACAGAGATCAGGCTCCTTGGTAAACCGGTTCTCGAAATACCGCCGAAACGCGTCAAACATTTGGTCTTTGGTCAACCTCAGAGCTTGCCAAATTAAGTCTATGGTCTGAATAGCCTAACCAGTGGAACGTGGGGCAATCTAGCAAATCTACATCGATCCTTCTCGCTGACATTCTATCCAGGTAGCTGGCTACCCGGGTAGACGGCTTCTTATGAGCCCACGTCCACATCTCCCCGTTGGGGTTATCAACCCGGTATCTATCGATGAGACCAAACTCACTGATCAGATCAACCAAGCTACAATCGCCTGATCTCCTGCTAGCTCCCCGCCTCCTGTCTAATTTGGAGTCCAGAACGGCATTCCAGTCCCCCATTAAGACTAAGCACGACGAATTCACCAAGAACGGCCCCAACAGATGGAAAAGGGAGACACGCTCTGTCTGATTGTTGGGCGCATAAAATGTAACGATCCGAAATAAACTACTGCTCACGGCAATATCGGCCACGATCAACCGCTCCCTCATCCCCCGCATCAAGATGGACAAGGTCCACCTTGGCACCCAGGGTACATTTAACCAGCAAAGGAAATACCTCTGGTCAGTACACGAACACCAACATCGCAAACAAAGCGTGTCTCCTGGATCGCGGCCACATCTACACCAAAGGTCAAGAGATCATGAAGCAGGCGGGTAGACTTATTCCGATCTCTCAAGCCCCTCGCATTCAAACTGGCTAGCTTGATAGACATTTTTAAGCGGGTTCCTTCAAACGCAGAGTGGACGGAAATCTGTAAGAGTCAGGATCCCAGGAGATTGTCCTAAGCTACTAGTGTCCACGTCAGACGAAATCCATCCGTCAGTGACAATACTACCGACGTCCATAGGAAACATTAACTTCAGGACCCTGTATAACGAGGGGTGGATCAAAACTGGCGCCCTCCCTGAACAAGTTTTAGCTAATTTTCGAAGATCCAAAGACTCCACCTGGGCCATCCGGAGCTTCGGGAAGAAGTCCAAGGCTTTTGTGCTTGCAATTCTTACTACGGTTACAGACGCATTATCAAAGTTCCTGGGGTCGCCAGTTGATTTGCCATCGACAGATGTTAACTAAACTAGGGGTCTCAAGTGGACCTTCCTCTGGGAGGAAAGATCCCTCTCAAGCATCTGACTATCCACCAGACAGATGCCCTCCCAATGGGGAAAGGCTTCTTTTGGGATGGGATAGGATGAAGGAGGGGGATATCGGAGCCCTATCTGGAGAAGAAGGGAAGCGTGTAGCCTTACCTGCGGTTGTGTCATTTCTGATTGTCGAAGCAGGTGCGGATTATGACTTGGCCTGTCCCATGACTCGTTCTGCTCTGCTAAGGCTGGGCTTTTTTTTTCTTTTTTCACCATTTTCCCTCTCCATAACGATGAGGATTATCCGGTACCGACGCATCAAAGTGTCGAGTACCTCTAAAAAACATTTACGAGATATTGCCACCTGCAGGATCATATCCCCGGTAGCAATGCCTGTTTTACATCTTACTAACGCAATCTCCTCTACCTGTCCATAATCCATAAAAATGGCTCTCACAAGGTCTTCCTCTACATCCATGTAAACTTTGTAAAGTGATCTTGGTCTTTCGGGTGCCCATATATTCATTTTGCATCCTCCCTGACTTGGCAGTGAGGATGTTTCCCGCTAGATGTCGTCAATATGTCCCACATTACGTTTGACCTCTTTGCTAACACCTTCACTATAATGTTCAGTTACTTGTGTGCTTCTTCCATTATTTCCTTGCTGACACCCACCAACTTCCCGGTATTTACATCAGATGTCAGCAGGGAAATTGTCCTTTTCGAAATCGCCTCCCGGGCGATGTTCATGGTACTTTACATGTACCACTACGTAATATTCAGGTCCCTTTCAGGGCTGTTTGTCGCCCATGCTATATGGACTTACTGGTTGATCCAACTGCTTAGACAACTCAGCCATTTTGGCCGGGGTTATACACAAAAACAAATAGCTCGTAAGATAATCACATGTGTTAAAGAAACTAGACGATACAAAAATTAGGCCAAAATAAAACAAAATCAAAATGTAAAATCAAAACAAGAAACACTTACACTGAAAGTGCACACACTCTTTCACTACAATAGTCCACGCCTGTCTGAACCAAACTAAATAATGTACAGTACAGGAAGAGCCGTACCAATATTTTTAAAATGCCTAAGAACTTTATTTATATACGGAAATTAATTTTTAATAGAACGGAAATTTAAGTTCAAAGAAGGCATAAATAATTTAAAATGCGTTTTCGGGTCTTTTTAGTAGGTCCGTGGCGGTACCTACAAAAAATTCAATACTTGATATCTCTTAGTCTTAGAATTATTTAAAATTCATATTTTAATATTTCGTATTTTCACACTCAGGTAGGTACCTCCGAGAGATCGTTTAAAAAAAAAAAAAGAAGAAAAAAAAAGCATAGCATAAATAAAAAGAAAGGGCCTTAAGCTTGATGAAAATAATTTTTTATTGTCTAAATGCTTATGTTATTATTAAGAGGAAAGATTAAAGTATTTTGGGGGGTATTTTTTTACATTTTTTAATTGTTCCTAGCACGTCCGAAATTTTCGTTAAAAATCTTTTTTTTTGAGTCAGCAAAATTGACAGATCATGTCAACCATTTTTTTCCATTTTATAAAAAAAAATGAAAATCTCAGTTTTAAATTTTTTTAAAAATCAATTATAATTTTTTTTCAAAATTTATTTTAAGAAAATTAGAAATTATAAAGTTTATTTAAAATATTTTGAAACAAGTATTACTTAGTTTCTGTGCCGAAAAGATGTAGTTTAAAAATAAGACAAAACAGGTCATGATATTTGGTGTCACTTGACAAGTGATGAGTGACAATTTCATCACCTATTGACAGCTTACGTAAGGGAAAGTTATCGTACGGAAGGACAGAAGCGACGTAATTATTTAGTTTTAAGTAATCCATCTTATTTACCTCGTTATTTTTAAGAAAAACTTTCAACACTCTAATTTTTTTTTTGTACTTAGCTTTCACCTTTACGTATATTATAAAAAAATTAAAATAAAACTGTTGAGAGTGAGATTAAATTTCTTAGTTCGTCTCTTCTGATTGTTTAAGTTATACAACTTATAATGCTAAAAGGATAGATCTAACTAACACCATTGACTAAAACTGAATGCCGTTTTCACTAATTTTAGAATATTTTAACAACTTTAATGTAAAATAATAAAATAATTTAAGAAATAATAATTGTTTTAAAAATTCATTTTTCATTGCAAAAATATTTTGCTTTCAGACAATATCCATATTCATTCATAAAAACAACTAAAAGCATCTGAAATTAAATAATATCTTTGTTTTATTGAGTTTTGTATGTTACAATTCAGAGCTGATTTTCTGGTGGGGAAATCCGATTTAAAAAAATACATGATTTGCTTTCCTCAAAGCCTTGTGCTTTTTTTTAACTAATAATCACTAAACAGAAACTGAATGGTATTGAATTTCTATAGTTTTCAATTTCATAAAATTAGTTGGGGGGAGTAATAAATATGAAAAAAAAAATATTCGCCATGACTTTAAAAAAAGAAAATATATTTATAATAATTTCCATCATTTGTGAATAGTTTCTGAAAGTTTCATTAACATCCGACAATTATTTATATTTTTGCAAGATTTTAAAAAATAATGTCTGTCATACAAAAAAAAAGTGCTAAAATTCGAGTTCCGCTGATACAAAGAGAAACAAGTTTTTTTTTTAATCAAAAGTTAATGTTCTAAAAAGGAAAAAAAATTAAAAATAGTTAAAAAAAAAATACTTTGTTCTTTCCTCTTAATAATAACATAAACATTTAGACGAAAAAAAATTGTTTTCGTCAAGTTTGGCGTCTTTTTCATTATGTTATGCTCTTTTTTTTAGGGATCTCTCAGTGGTACTTACAGGCGAAAGAAAAGAATTTCATTTTTCCTTTAATGAATGGCTACAGTCAATTTCAAGTATTAACAACACGGGAATATTTTGAAAATTGTTTCAAACAAAAGTGCATAATAAATCAAATGAAATTTTAACTTATAAGTCAATCTGTGCTGTGTTGCTAAGTCAAACAGTAAACACACGTGTTTATTTTTGTTTGTTTATTTAAAAAAAAAAAAAAAAACATTTCCTGTCCTTCACTCCGTAATTGCTCTTCCGGCGTCCGCTTTCTAACACGTTGTCTGTCGGAATTCTTCGGTTCTGTTCGTGCAAGTCGTCAGTTCCTGATACCAACCAACACTAGCTTTTTTTCTTAAACCTTATTTATTTTTTTTAACTATATAACCCTATGATTCAGAAAATTTCATCATCTTTTCTCTTATAAAGCAAATTACGGTAATTTAAAAAAAAAAAATAACAGTAGGTGTTTTTTTTCCCCGTTAGTGTCAACATCAACATGGCGGTACAATCACTTGTGAGTAAAAAGAAGAAAAGTTTTATTGGTTTACCGGCACCTCTTGGTTATGTGCCGGGTTTAGGACGAGGGTAAGTTGTGCTCGGATATATAGTAAAGTTATTGCATATTATAGTTTAGAGGCTAAGTAAATTAGATTTGCAAAATATTTGCTACCACGTGTACAAAGTATTCTTTTTAAAATGTGAACAAGATATTTGTATTCCTAAAAATTTGTGTCTGAGATTTTATAAGTAATAATTACATAGTAATATTGTGTTTTAGGGAATTATTTTACTTATTTCATAATTAAGCTTTCTGAAAATTACAGGAAAATAGATGTATTTCTTTTAATTTTTAAGATTAAGGCAAATTTTTTAAAAACGGAGCTTTTTCATAGCAACATTGAGTTTTTTTTTGTGAAAATTTATTCAATGTTGTATTTTTTTGTAATTTTCATCTTTTGCACCTAATTTAATCTTGCAATCTATTAAAAAAATACACTGCAAACTTCACCCTCAATGTTTATTCTAAAAAGAAAATTACTTTTACTAACAAAAAAGTGTTTCATAATTTACTTTTATTTTTGTTAAATAAATGTATCATTGTTATATTTTGTAATTTAAATTAATTTTCAAATACGTTTTTTTTTAGTTGTTAAGAAAAAACTGAAAGCATTCCAATCCTCGATTTAAATTCCACTGATTTACTTTCAGTATTTATATTTTTTAATCTTGTTTTTAAAAAACAAAGGTCGAAAAAAATTTTGTTAAAACTTCGTTTTTTGAGACACAAACGAAAACATAGTCATTTGAAAATATTGTCATCAGAATTCCAAATAAAAAAGCTATTTATTATTTTCTTTTTAACGGAATAAAAAGCGAAGAGGAGCTCACACATTTCTGAGTAGTATTCAAAGAAACATATTAGTAATTTTTTTTCTTTTGTAAATAAAAAAGATGTCAATATTTTTAAGTTTGTTTACATTTACGAACTTGATTAGAAGTTCCATTGTTTATCATTATCTATCTTCTGTGATTTTTCCTTTTTATTCTCTGATAGGTGTCTTAAACTAATCATGATTTACATTTTTAAATTAAGTTTTTTTTTTTTTTTTTAATATTTAAATTTCTTGAGAAGATCTAAATTTAATTTCTTGAAAAAGATCATTTGTTCCTTTCAGTAAAAATAAGAAGATAATTTTTCATTTTCAACTTTCACTTTTTAAAGTTACCGTTCTATTGTTTAATTTTGTCAGTGTTGACTTTTGAGCATGAAATCATAAAAATAACTGATAAGTTTACGAAAAAAATGTAGAGACTAAAAGTGTAGCAATTTATTAACTACGAATTGTCCAACAGATTCACTCTGTAAAAGTGTCTATGTGTGAGGGATAAATACAGTAGCAAAAATTAACTTGAAATTATTAACATGCGGACTATTGTCCTCATCTTTGTTGTTGTTATGACAACGTTTCGACCGTTGTGCTCTCCGGCCTTCATATCTGGGTAACCTACAGGAGAAATTTCTGATTGAAATCTTTATCTAATCTATGGCAGGTTCTTGTTCCACTGCCCATGTCTTGAGATATCTCGTCTCTAGTTCTTTTAAAGTTATTGCTTGTCTCCTTTCCAGTGATTCCAAGTACACACTACCTAGCCCAGGGATTGAACTCAGAATTACTGTCTCACCAAATTCACAAACAAATACAATAGGTTATTGGAACAACTGTGTGGAGAACTTTGAGCCTTAAACCTAACCTGCCTGCTGATGAGTGCTGCTGTTGCTTGACTGCAATCATTGAAGCTTTCTCTTTTGTTACTGTTATTTTGCTAATAAAGATAAAAAGACAAATGACAGGTCCTCAACTGCAATAGTAATAAGTGATACCTAAGGTTTAAAATAGATTTTTACAAATGAGAAAGCTTTCATTTTAGCTTTAATTGAAAGCTAAATGATTTTCAGAAATGAGTAGTAGTTTAAAAAAAAATTGATGATTTACATTCTCCAAGGAGTCCTGTTTTTAACAAAAAAAAATTTTGGATGAAAATTTAATTCCTCAAAATTTCATGGAATTAAGTATGTGTATGTCTGTAAAGGTGGGGGATTAACTTATTAATTTTTACCAAGATTTTCTAAGAAAAACTAACTTCAAAAATAATTTCATTCATTTGTCAATAAGTCCTGAATGTTTCATTAAAATCCAACAATTATTTGATTTTTGCAAGATTTTCCAAATCAATGTGTTTTTCATTGGAAAAAAGGCACAAAAACACTAATAGTAAATATTACATCAACCAATGTTTCACCAAAATTTCGAACATCCTAGAAATGAAATAATAAAAAATACTTTGGTCTTTCCTCTTAATAATAATAACAAACACTTTGACAATAAAACTTTGTTTTTTATTAAGTATGGGGCCTTTTTTCATCATACTATACTGTTTTTTTTTTTGTTTTTTTTTCCAGCAACAAAGTGGAGTTACCTAGAGTTGTATTTAGTCAATTTGGTGTTCATTTTATTTTCAGAATAGACTGTTCTGAGTTTTGTGAAATATCTTCCAGAAACATAAAAAATCAAGGACACTTGTTTTATTCTGTGATGTTTCTCGGTGTTAATTGAATTAATTTACATAATTACATTTTAAAAGTGGATGAGACTGTCATAAAAAAAAGTAATAATACCCTATTTCTTCTTCTTCTTCTTCTTTTTTTTTTTTTTTTTTTTAGAAAAGTTTTCTCTTCTCTTATTTGTTTTACTCCAATTAATTGTTACCATTTGATTTGTCCCAACACTGTATATCCTCTTCAACTTACTAGGCAGAAAATTAAAAAGAAAACAATTTTTTAACAAGATTCTAAATCTTGTAACTTTCACACATGTGCATGCACGCGTGTGTGTGTGTACACATGGTGATCTACCAAATTCTATCACCAATATACTCATTGATAATGCAAATATAATAGTCTCATCCACTTGTAAAAAAAAGGCTAAAGATAATGGAAGCATTCTTAATAAAAAAAGAAAAAGATAACATTCAATAATATCAACTATGAATACTGCCACAATGTGCTGACCATGTATAAAACAATTCATACATTCAGTTAAGTCAAAATAAAATTCATCCTTGATAATGGCTAAAAGTATAGGCAAAAGCACTTGGGCATACAAAACATTTGGACAATTTCTACATAATTTATACCCAGAAAAGAAAATTAAATATAAAATTATAATATAACACATGAAAAATTAAAAAAAAAAAACTTAACCTCAGTACCTTGTCAGTGTTTTTAATGAAATTTGTATAATTGAGGGGTTGCTGTACACACACACACATTTTAATGTATGCTACATTTATGGGTAAAAAGTTCTCGATATCAGGGAGTGTTTGTAAATTTAAAAGTGCCACCAGTTGGTGTTGGTTTTAGTCTCAGAGATATATATATATATATATATATATATATATATATATATATATATATATATATATATATATATATCAATCTATTTGATTCTTAATGCCATCTTTGTTTTACTTTCTAGACTTTTTTTTTTTTTTTTTTTTTTTTGATGAAGCATTTTCATCAGAATCTACTTCTATATTTCTGATTTATTTTTTCATGTTGTTTTTCTCTATTAATCAAAAAAGTGGATCCACCTAAAGTTTTGTGATAAAACATAACAATAAGATTAATTAAAATCATTTTATGTCAACATCCTCTCATTTCTATAACAGCATTATGAATTTAGGCCAAGTACAACTACTAGTTATCTATGGTATCTGGAGATAAACATTACCCTATTAAATACCTGAACTTCTCTCGTATAAGACCCAGTAGAATTATTTTTTCCTGACCACTTCTCATAATTTGTGCTAAGAAAATCAAACCAGATCACTATAGAAAAAGAATCTCCTTTCAAACTACTCTATTATTTGGCATCAGTTTTTCTTAAAATAAAACTATAAAAATTACCCTTTTTTTTTTCTTTTTATTCAAGTCAAATTGGAGTGACCTTGAGATTATGAAGTATGATTATTTTGATTTCAGTCTGTCTAAAACAAGACCAAAGTTTGAATTTTATATAACATAAGATAAAAAAAAAAATCTAGTACATGTTAACCATTTTATATTTTCCTTATTTTCAGAGCCACTGGATTTACTACCCGGTCGGATATTGGTCCTGCCCGAGATGCAGATGACATTTCGTAAGTATAGATGCACAATCTCTCAAATAAATTTTTACTAAGACATTAAAAAATCAGATTTGCAATCATTTGTGAAATATATACACAGTACTCCTCCCCACACCTTTTATCCATGGAGAATATGTTCTAAGACCCCCAGTGATTACCTGAAATTGCATGTGGTCATAACAAAATTTTGTAGCATTTTTTAAGTGAATTTCAAAGAATATTTAGATATTTGTATATTGATTTATTCAAATATGTATGTCATTTTGTTCCACTACCTTTTGTCATCTTTAAGGAAGCTTCATGATCCCCATTTTCTCAGAACTTAGCATCTTTTGGTGTGATGAATTGGTCTCAGTGGTTTTTGCAAACTCACATAGAAATGTTGCTCTTCTCATTAAGAGAATCAAAATAAGAGATAAGCTGAAATTTTAAGTTCAGGTGAGTGTGATTGGTGTAGTAGCAATACAGCCAAGCAATACAAATTTCTGCAAAAAGATGTGAAGTCTGGCAGTATCCTGATGAAAGATGACTCTCTTCTGATTGGTCAACTCTGGAGGCTTCACATCAAGTGCTGCCTTTAATTGGTCCAACTGGAAACAGTACATGTTTGAATTGAATATCTGATTTTGAAGAAGGAATTCCAAATACACAATGTTCTTCCAAACCCACCAGATATACATCATCACCTTCTTCAGATGCAGACCTGCTTTTTGTTTTCCACAGGATCTTTTTGCTCCACATTGTTATAAACAATCACCCATGATCATTCTTTCTGAAAAATGAATAATTTTTGCAGCATTTGAGCAGAGAATTGCAGATTGAAATGCAGTCCCTTAAATTTTTTTCCATTAAATCATAAGGCACCCAAACATTGCAGTTATTCACATATCCAAATGTTTTCAAATGCATTAAAATGCTCATATGAGTAATGCAGAATATCTCTGCAGTGTTCCATGTGGCTGCAATTATTTTTAATCAGCATTTTAATTTGGTCATTATCAACAACTTCAGACCTGATGGAATGTTCTTGGTTTTCCAGATAAAAAATTCCACTAACGAACCACTTCCGAACAGTACTCTCAGCTATGGCATCATCTCCATAAATGGCACATATCTTTTTTGCTGTTTGTACAGCAGTTTTACCTTTCCAGAAATAAAAGCACATCAAAACCACTTTTAGCATAAAAACATTTAAAATTCACAATCCTTACACGAATCGTATAAAGACATGGTATAATGTGACCTTTTAGAATATGTCTTTATGTTATAAATTTTAGTCACATGTGAAATGATATCACATGTTTAAATGTTGTATATTGAAAAATTCTACAAACTTTTGTTTCAACCCAATACTTTTTTTTTTACTTGCAAATCTTAGAAATTTAAGCACAATAAGAAATTACCAACAATAACTAATAATAAAATAGAACACTTATAATATGTTGTAAGAAAAGTTGGGTGACAGAAGATTTAGTCTTAGTGTACATTTTAGCAGCCTATTTTTCTTTGTTTTTTTTTTCCTTGCTAAATCAAAAACTTTTGTCCTTTCATTTGAATATTTTACAGCTTCTCTTTGGCATATCCTAATTAACAGCATCTCTATACACTTTGGCACCATCATTAAGTGAAACTTTCTGGAGTTGACCAAGGAAAGTAAAACCACAGAAAAGAGATGTAGGAGTTTTTTTTTGGGGGGGGGGGGGTTCCACTGTACAGCCAAATCTATATGCATCCTAAGAAAAAATATATATATGAACTTGGGTTGAAACACATAATAAAAGTTCACAGAATTTGAACAGCATGTGCAAATGAATATTGTACACACTTTTGTCCCTACCCTTCACTAGCCATTGTAAAAAAAAAAAAAAAAAAGCAACAGGTATGTGAATTACCTAGGAGGTAGTGAAAGCACAATGTGTAGGTGTAAGTAGTCATTTTTTATGGTCTAATTCCCCTAAACTTGATAGAATTCATACAATATATCCTATATTCTGTTTCATAGAATATAGGATACATTGTGTAATTAGATGATCCACCATTTCAGTGGGTAAAAGAATCTTAAATCTGCATATAGAATGCATCTGTGCGCAAATATATTAATTGGTTCATTCATTTTCTACAGCTTATCAAACCTTTACAGGTTATTTTAAAGACAGAAAATAATTTTAGATTGTAAGAATTTTTTTTTTTAAATGATAATGGTTTAGTGATACAAGTCTTACTAATTAACCTATAGCTGGGGGAAGATGGGAATTCATACCTTTCTTAAGGATATTTGTGCATAAATGAATCAAACCCAATGAGAATTAGAACTTGGTTCTTCAATTAACAATTCCGAGCCATTATCCATTACACCACCAGCACATCCAAGTTTACAGCATCTAGTATTCCAAAGTGGTCACCCATCTAGGCACTGATTAACTGGGAAACTGTGTACATATAGGTAGACTGTATATTCTAATACAGAACCAGTAATAATGCCCAATGTGATATATTAATTCAAGATTTTCTTGAGAGTTCAGACATTAATTTCTGGGGATTTTTTTCACAGTAAATGCATCTTACCAAAATAGCTTATTAACCCTGTTGGTCCCATTTAATAGCATGATTTACAGACCAAAATATTAATGTCTATACATGCATCAGTTTGCAATGAACACGTTCTCTTTTTACCTGTGTTCCAATTCACTTCTGTTCTTACCAGGTTTTGTACTTGATGTCTTTTTCTTTAAATTTTTCTGATCTCTCTCAATATATATCCTGAATTTTTTTTTTTTTTTACTTGCATCGTCAACTTTCTCTGATGCCATATTTCATAGCTAATATTAGGGCTTGGAACTTATATTGACTTTTCTTTTTTCTATGTCATTAGCACCCAGTTCAAATGAAATAATGCCTTACTAAATAAACTTGTGAATATTTATTCACCCAAGTTTGGCAAAAGGTCATAATATCCTGTGAAGGTCAAACTCACTACAGTAGCAGTGAACAGTGAGAATAACTTCTAGTCCTTACTTTCCAACAGGCATCCATCTGGAATAGACTTCTACATAGACGTCTTCTCTAATCAGCCACTCCCCACCTCCCATCACTTGCAATTATTTATCAATGAACCTATATTGAATCTTCTGAAATCAGACAAATAAACTAGTGTAGAGAACCTTTCCTAATATTAACAAATACTATGCTTTTGAGTAGGGCATGAGAAAGTGTTCTTTGCAAAGTGATGTGTGACTTTTTTTCTTTTCACATCTCAGGATTAGAAAAAATTGACTTAATTCTGTTCATTGTGCAAAGATTCAAGATGCCTCTGAAGTTGCAAGTTTATAAAAGTTTTGTTTTTATATTTGTTTTCACAGTAAAATTTTTTTTTTTTTTTGTTTATTTGATCAATATTGACATTCTCATGTTCACAATTCTTGTTATTGAATGTTCTATTCATGATTTCAGAGATGACCGACATGCTCCTCCTAACAAGAAAAAAAAAGATGACAAAGATGATGATGACGATGAAGATCTGAATGATGCCAATTATGATGAGGTAATTTGTATTCCTTTTCATCTTTTTCCTTTGCACTTAACATTGTTTTTTTGTTTTTTTTTTTTTCAGATACAAATCACAACTGTTGCAACTTAAAGGCTAGATAGTGTAATAAATTAAGGCTGTCTTTTTTAGAGTAAAGTTTAGCTCTCATTAGAGACTTTTATGAATATCATCTTTTCTATTGCATAACAAGAAGCCTCACTGTTGAAGACTATTTTTTTATCTATTTGAGAAAGTTTCAGATAATTGGATACTAGAAATGAAAGCAAAGGAAAAGACTTTGAGTAACAGGAAATATGGATAAACCTCTGCTCCTGTTCAAATGACTGAGGAGGAGTGACAATCGGACGATAGGTGAACACATCTACTATATATATATATATATATATATATATAATAAAAATTTCAGGTGAACACATCTATATATATATATATATATATATATATATATAATAAAAATTTCAGGTGAACACATCTATATATATATATATATATATATATAATAAAAATTTCAGGTGAACACATCTATATATATATATATATATATATATATATATATATATATATATAGTAAAAATTTCAGAGTTTAGGCAGGGACATTAGAAATATAGAGTTATGGTAGAATTTAGAAGGGACCAGTTACCAAGTCCTAAACAGGAAACAAGGGATAAACCTCTACTCCTGTTCAAAAGACTGTAATTAAATAGCATTAATTACACCTGCTGATGGTATTGCTTCATTTTCTTATCCAGTTTGCTGGCTATGGAGGCAGTTTATGTAGTAAAGATCCATACGACAAAGATGATGAAGAGGCAGATGCAATATATGATGCAATTGACAAACGAATGGATGAGAAACGCAAAGAGCGTCGAGAGCAGAAATTAAGGGCAGAACTGGAAAGATATCGTCAGGAACGGCCAAAGATTCAGCAGCAGTTTTCAGACCTCAAGGTAAGTTCATGTTCATGGTTTTACATTTTTTTTCTTTTTAACGCATTGTGTAGCCTCTTGTAGCTAGTTTCTTCTGACTTGTAATCAATTCCCATAATGAGTTTCCTTCAACCAACAGAGTAGCAATATGAACTTAAGCCAAACAATCCACCAACACTGACCACAGCAACATGTCTCCTGTTCACTACAGCAATCACACTTTGTGCTTTTGTCGCCTCTTTATGTACTTTTCATAGCTTGATTTACAGTTAAAATTTAAATTTGTTAAGAGATTCTCACAAGAGTTTCTCCAACCCCAAGATCTATCTGTTTTAAATGTACGACTTGTGAAACTGCCATTTTCCTTTTGGATACTTTACAGGTGAGACACGTTTGAATTTGTTTTCATTCTGGAGGCGAGCCATTTTCTCTAGTGCTACAGATTGTTTAAGGGTCAGAGGATTTAGTCAGATTGGTGAGGCTCATTATTGAGTAGAAAGGTTTGTAGGGTCTTCATTAGTAGAAGGTTAATTTTGGCAAATCTGTAATAGCAAAAACATGAAAACTATAATAGGCACATCCTGGAATTGTCTTGTCATTGGGTTTGGTCAGTTTTTGTAGAGGACTACTTTGTGGAACTGAATCCCAAGAGGATGCTTTCCCAACCACTACAAAGTTAACCTATTCAAGTCTGGAATTAACTGTTATCTTCCCCACATTTGTAATAAATACTTGAAAAGAATCTTTTTCTTCTATTAGGCCAAGTATAGAACATGGATGTTGTTCTAGCAACATTTAATGTATGATTAAATTTTTTTCTTTTGTTTTTTTTCCATAATTGATCAATTTGTTTTTTTATGGCTTATCAACCTTTTACAGGTTGTTTAAAGCAAGAAAATATTTTTAAAATTTAAGATTTTTTTTTTTTTTTTTTTTTTTTGAGATAATTGCATTTTCTTCACTTTTCTGTGAGTTGTATTTTTTTTTTTTTTTTGTTGGCTACCAACTCCAGTTTTGGAGCAAATACTAAAGATTTTGTCTCTCACATTTCTCTAATGTCAAATTATGAGTACAATCAAACTTACCTTGTGTTATACCTGACGTACCTATTCTATTATTAATAGACTCTCCCACACATAAGTAGTAGTAGTAGTAGCAGTCACCAGTTGGGCTCAGTGGTGTTGAGGGAGTAAGTCGATATTGGACATTGAAGTACCAACCTTCACAACTAGATTGCTGCATCATTAACTCTTATTTCAAGTTCCTAACGTTTTGTATGTCGAACCTAATTTAGGACGACTTATTGAAATACAAGCCTCCACTGTGAAAACTACTCTACAACATTGGCGACCGAGGATTCAAAACTCACACGGGAAAAGAAAAACTTTTCGTATGCCTAACAACAACATTGGCGACGAAGGAATTTGCGTTCACTCTACAACACTTGATGACGTGGATTTGTAACTCATACAGAAGAAAAAAAAGAAAAAAAATTCATCCACCATAATAAACATGGCGTACGTGGCATTGGGTTTCATACAGTGAAGAAAAAAAAAAATTCGCTCACGTTATTTAGTGACGAAATTCGTTTTTCATACGAAGGAAAAAGAAAAAAAAATTGCTCGTCAAATTTTTGGCGACAACATCTCGGATTCACATTTTAAAAAAAAAAAAAAAACCTGCCAAAGTTTTTTCGAAAGACAAAACGTCAACTTAGTGATGAAAAAATCAGTCGTATTCTCAACTGAGAAAAGAATTTTATTTTTTTTTCTCGATAAGACAGCTTGCTCAAATAGGTCACGAATTACAAATTCGTTTTGGACCCCCCCTCTACAATATTTAAGCATTGTGTAAACTTTTTGCGAAGATGGAGGAATGCAAAAATATATTCCAGGAATTTTTTAAGTTCCAGACAGAACAACAAAAGACAATATTAGAGCTACAGAAAACATTCCAGAGGCAACTACAAGAGGAAACCTTTAATAGACAGATACAGTTTCAACGAGAAATGGAACAAGTAAAAAGACATCTTTGTTTCACAAGAGGTGGAAATGTTTGAATCTGATGAAAGAGGATGAACAAGACTTCATAACATATGCAGCTAATGTGAACAAGCATTGTGAAGAATTCAAACTAGCAGAATTAAGCGCTGACAATTTTAAGTGCTTAATATTTGTTCAAGGACTAGTTTCAGAAAGAGACGCAGAATTGAGGAAATTGGTACTTTCAAAATTGGAAAAGGGACCGAGGATTTCGGTACAGAGTTTGGCAGAAGACTGCACAAGATATGTTAGCATAAAGAAAGAAAAAGATAGAACAGTCTGGCATTTCGCATGTAAGAAAAATACGCTACAAAAAAGAAAGTCAGTCTACCAAAAAGAATTCTAAAATTGTGGATTATCAAACAAAAAGTGAAATACCAGAGAAAAATAAACAAAAACTCTCAAAGCCATGTTTTGCTTGAACTTCACTGGTACAGATATTGCAATTTTAGGAATAAAAAATCTTTCAACTGTGAAAGAGTGGGGCATAAAAGCTCGCACTGCAGGTCAAAAAATAAAGACAATAAAATGAGAAAATTAAAGTCCGACGAAGTGAACGACGGAATAACTAGAAAATTTGTTACCGTCAAAATAAGTAATAAAAAAATAAAAATGCAACTCGACACTGGTTCCGACCTATCTATCATAAATTTGAATACGTGGAAGAAGTTGGGGAAACCAACTTTAATGAAGACAAATAAAATCGCGAGGTCAGTGACAGGAGAAAAAATACAATTTATTGGAGAATTTGTTACAAACGTCACGTTAAATAAAAAAACATGAAAAGCTAAACTATTTGTCATAAAAAATACCACGAACTTACTTGGTACGGATTGGATAATAGAATTTCAATTATGGGATTTACCATTAAATTCTTTCTGTTACCAGGTTGAAAATTTAAACTGCGAAGCCCAGAAATTAGTACAAAAACTGAAGGGAACTTTTCCTACTGTTTTTCTCCAGGTTTGGGAACGTGTACCAAGATTGAGGCAAAATTACAGCCAAAACAAAACGCTCAGGCAATATTTAAAAAGAAACGGAATGTGCTGTTTGCTTCAATTGAACAGATAGATAAAGAATTGGATAGATTAGAGAAAATCGGTTTATTTAAAAATGTGGAATGGGTAACACGACAATATACGTGAAAAACAAGCTCCAGAAAGTAAAAATGAAGCCGACACCGAAAAAAACTCAGGAACGAGTTACACGCAACCAAGGACATGCAGTATTATTAAATGATTTAAGTCAACAAGAACCTACAGAAACTCTGAGTCCATCTTTAAGAAGTGCAAAGTAGATGGTTGTTTCTGGTAACACTATGGAAATAATAAAAATAAAAAAATAAAAAAAAAATAGAAAAGTGGATTGACTATATGACGTACTTGGTGAAAGGGGAAAAACTCACGTGCAGTAAACAGATCAGACGACGTTTTTCAGATGTGGTTGACAGCGGTCTGGGGGGGGGGACGCCAATGGAGGTGATTTTCAATAAGTTTGATCTAACAACCCCTGCAAATAATTTTACCTAAGGTACGCCGATCCAGAAGAAAAAAAGAAAGGCAACTGATCATTTAAAAGTGGATCAAAAATATGTAGGAAATAAGCTACGATGTTGCATAAAAACAAAAAAAAAAAATTTTTTTTGTTGTTTTTTTTCTTCATATTTTCTGTAAAAATTTGAAAAATAAATAAAGAAAACTTTTTACTCCTGCGGAGTAAAGTTTTAGGGGCGGGGATGTTATACCTGACGTACCTATTCTATTATTAATAGACTCTCCCACACATAATAAGTAGTAGTAGTAGTAGCGGTCACCAGTTGGGCTCAGTGGTGTTGAGCGAGTCAGTCAATATCGGATATTGAAGTACCAACCTTCACAACTAGATTGCTGCATCATTAACTCTTATTTCAAGTTCCTAATGTTTTGTACGTCGAACCTAATTTAGGATGACTTATTGAAATACAAGCCTCCACTGTGAAAACTACTGTACAACACCTTGGAGATTCAGATCACCAGAAAATAATTTTTTGGGACCAACTATACTTGGTCTGTTCTGAAGATAACTCCAGTCCACAAGCAATGTTGATGTTGTAGAAGGCTTGAACAGTGTTTGAAATGCATGGAATATAATCATACAAAAAACACATTTATTCATCTTTACTTCATTATCCTTATAAAAAAAAAAAAAAGTGAAAACTTTTTTTTTTTTTTTGCTAGAGGGAGTTGGCTAGTGTCTCATATGATGATTGGATGAACCTACCAGAAGTGGGAGATGCTCGAAATAAGCGACAACGGAATCCAAGGGCGGAAAAGTAAGTAAAAGAACAAAGAATTTTGTGAACTTTATTGTTCAGATTTCATCTGTAGATATCTTATTCATTCCACTGATATTGTTGTGTCCATGACTGTCAAATTTTATAATCACATTATCCAATATGGCTTCCAGTTCTAGATCATGTAATTTTTATATGTATTTTGGTAAAATTTATTTATTTTTCCCCTCCAGACACTTATGCATAAAACTGTTTGGTAATACTAAAAGCAGGATGGGGGGGGGGGTATTCTTTTTTTTATTTAACCTAAATCTTTCCTTTTATAATTATTGTTTTCTATATTTATCTGTTGCTGACATTCATATTTTCTTCTTCAGGTTCACTCCACTCCCTGATAGTTTGCTTGCTAAGGCTGCATCTTCAACAACATCAAACACATCAGTGGATGCCAGAGAACAGGTTGGTTCAGAATAAGAATAATTTCACTTTGACAAAATTCAAAATGAATGAAGGAGTTTGTTTTTTTTTTTTTGTTTTTTTTGTTCATAAAAGTTAACATAAGTAATCAGTTTGACTAAAATTTAGTCTAGTGCATACATTTAAGTAGGAAAATTTTGCTGTTGTAGACACTAAATCATTTTCAAATTTACTTACTGAATATTTTTTTTTTTACAAAAATGTACTGGAATATCAGATTTCTTCATTATAACACCCTGAATATGTATTCAGTTCCCCATAATGGACATGTTCAGATATTCTCACATAAAATATCGCCTTTATATGTTTAGGCCACGTTATTTGGCACTTTTAGAATTTGCTCTTTATGGATATGATGTTCGCATAAAGTGTTGAGGTTTCAAAATCCAATCCAGAAGAATAGAATATGACAGAAAAACAAAGAAATGTTCAAAGAAGAAAGTCAAAAGCAAAAACTGGTTAGAAGCACAATTTAATTGTTCCTTGAAATTGTTGTTTTTTTTTTTTTTTTTTTTTTTAATATAAATTGTAGTCTTTAGACATAAGCATTTGCCTCCACTTAATTTTCCACTTAACAAGTTGCAAATATTAATTCACCTCCAAGAAATTATAAATTTTAAATCAAACTTTGTTGGGGTTTTTTAAATTAAATTTTTGGTACTCTTTAAACCATAATTGCAAATATAAATTCATCTGACTGTAAATCATAGTATGAATTTCATTGACCCAGAAGCATCAGCTCACACGCAAACAATTCAAAGTAGCTGCTGGAACACCAAAATGAAGAAAAAGTCTATGTTCAGGACTCATCACAATATGATAGACTCTTATTTGTGTGAGTTCCTTTGGAGACATAAGACAAAAATAACAATAAATAGTTTTGAACAAATTTTAAAAGGACATTTCTGAGCCTTGGTTTGAATTTTAGTAAATATAAATCATACTTATTATAAAACCCAGGTTGTGTGTGTGTGTGTGTGTCTGTACGTTTATATATTGGATCGGATTTCTTACATTTTTCGACCGATTTCAACAGAACTTCACAGGACTATGTAAAATTACCTTGCGATGGTTCTGACAGCGCCAAAAAATTGGAAAAAAACTGTTTTTGCACGAAATCAATTTGAAAACATGATTAAGAGTCATCGCAAAAATAAAAGGAGGGACAACTCATATTGAGTTATACTTATTATAAAACCCAGGTTGTTTGTGTTTGTGTATGTTCGTTTATATATGGGATCGGATTTCCTACATTTTTTCAACCTATTTCAACAAAACTTCACTTTTTTTTCTTTTTTTTTTTTTTGGCAGGTAGTGTTTCTTATTGTCTGAAACACTGTTTTCTTTATTTTTTACATTCAGAATGCTTTAAAAATTCCATTTACAAGACAATTATTTATAATAAAATTCTATTCAATCGGTAGACTCATAAAGATTGAAAACAATGTTTTTGTTTGAGTTTGGGTTTGACCAATTCATAAAAAAAAAAAAAACTAATTAAGACATGCGTGTCCGTCAACCTTAAACAATAATCTTTGTCAATTTTATTTTTCAGTCTTTATGATGGTCGATACTTGATCTATCTCTTACTGTTACATCCCCGGGCAACACTGGGCTCTACTGCTAGTACTTTATATTTTGGGGTGCATTAACAAAAAAGATTCAGCAAGTGATAGCTGAACAATTTTATTTACACATTTTATTTACCCTGAAGTATTTAATCTGCTTCACATTATTCAAGGCATTTTTGAGTAAAGCTTAAAAATTTAATTTTCCAGGAAATATTACTTTTTTTATTAAAACCAGTTAATTAGTATTGATAATAATATATGATTTTTTTTTTTTTGTGTGTAATTTTACAATCTGTTCTGGTATTTCTCTGTGCAGACCTATGGTGGTTTAGATACGCCATTTAGTGGCCCAACTGGATTTTCTACTCCGAGTGGAGATATTGACATGAAGAAAATTGGCCAAGCTCGTAACACTCTGATGGATATCAAGTTAACTCAGGTAATATTTTGCAACATGTGTCTCCTGTCTTTTTTTCTTTTTCCTTCTCAAATTTTCCCAGCCCAACCACTACCTGACTTCAATGTATTACTTTATAAATTTTCTATTAACTACATTTCTCATTATAAAATTAAATATTTATAAGTCTTTGATTATATTAAAGGTGTCTTTCAGGTTTTTAAAACAAACTTTACTTATCTTATGTACTTAGATTGTAATTCTAAGACAACTGATGATTACACTGTCCACGGCTTACAAAATTTAAATTCTATTACTTCTAATAACTTTTGATAAAACACAAGTTTAACCTTGTCATAAATTTCAGCACATAAAGTGTATAATTTGTGTTTATCTGACATAATAAAAATAATATTTTATAGAATAAATATGAAAAGTAATCTAACTTCAAATACTTTCAAGATGATAATAATTCTAGAAAATAGACTTAAGGTGATTGGTACTTAATTGCCCAACTTGAAATTATGATTCTGTTAATCTGGTTGTCTGAAAAGTAGTTTGTCCAAAGCTTTTACTGGACTTTGGAAACAAGTGGCCAGCCAGACAAAGTCCTTTCTGTCTTGACCATTAACTATTTATCTCTTTGCAATTTGCTTATCTATATTTTGTAATTCTATACAATCTTTTAATCTATACTGCATTCTATTTGATTCTCTTATTTTTGTGTCTGTATAGGTATCTTCTATTTGTGTGTTTGTAAAAATTTCAGATAGAGTATATCTGTAAAAGGACAATGAATAAAGACAATGTTTATAAATCTAACATGTTTCACTTTTTATTAAAGCTTCATCAGAGAATGAAATACAGAGGAGAAAGAAAAAATTCTGATATTTTTCCTTTTTGCATTTTTTTTTTTCATTAGTTATTCAGACTTCACATGCATTTGTCAAGCAACATTTGTGTGTATAATTTATGTAAGTGTATCATAGTTTTAGTTTGCTAGATTTATAAATGTTTCCTATTTCTTCCTCACACACACACACACACACACAGACATGTGATTTTTTTTCTTTTTAAATAACAATTTAAAAAGAATAAAACAGCAAGTAGCATTGTTAATTTTACTTACACACAACACCATTTTCCACTTTTTTTTATTTTCAGGTGTCTGATTCGGTGAGTGGTCAAACTGTGGTTGATCCAAAAGGCTATCTCACTGATCTGCAGTCCATGTTACCTTCTCATGGTGGTGATATCAAGTAAGTGGTTTCAGCTCCTAGCATCTCCCTCAAGAGGATTTTCCTTTTGAGTTTTTTGTATCTCAAAGTGAAGTCAATATTTGAATGTTCTGTATTGCAGGAAGATTATTTTTTAAGGATATATCATCATTCTTTATTTTTTAGGTCCCCTTTGGAAATGTATATTGTTTAACCTTATCTACTAACATTTGGTCTGTCCTTTGTACTTGAGGGGAAAGGTTTTATAATATATAAATAGGCTTTAAATTTTCTGCATTATTAGGTAGAATTACAAAGAAAAACATTCTTAATCCAGATTTTTTTTAAATTCTGCTCATCTACTGTATTGTTCACTTTGTATATCATTTCCATTAAACAAACCAATTTACTTGTGTGTACACAGTCAGTCTTATCATTGACAATCTATTAGAAATAGCTTACAGGTTACTTAACATTTTTATTGAATAAAACCTCCCAAAATGAAAACGTTTTTTTTTTTTTTGTAATGAAAAAATAAAATTGTATTTTTCAAAAGCAACATCTGAAACATTTACAGATTTCCTCTCTCCCCAGGATTTTTCAATATTAAAAAAAAATATTTAATCACTCAAATTGCCTCATTAATTCACAAATATCCAGAGATTTAATTGGAATATATATATATATATATATATATATATATATATATATAGCTGAAATTTTTTTTTTTTTAATTGCATACAAAATTTTTGTTTGTTTTGTGTGTGTGTGTATATATATATATATATATATATAGAGAGAGAGAGAGAGAGAAAAAATACCTATAATAACCTTCCCAGAGCAACACAAATTACTAAATAAAAGATTAGAACTTCTCAAAATGCAGACATGTAAACAAATTTTTATTGTGTTACTTAAAAATCGAAAACTAAAGCGCTAATATCTTGTAAAACATCCCTAAAGAAAATGCAAATATATGTATTATACACAAGGCAGATAACATAATGTACTGTATAAAAAAACAAACCAGTAATAATACCTTAAACAAAACAAATAAGATGACCTCCTGTCAAAGATATAATTAAATAAATACAAATAGAATAAAAAATAAATTAAATATTTAAATAAGGAATAAAAAATAAACCTCACACAACTACAAGTAAGCAAATTTGATAATAATTAGTAGCAAATAATTAATGAATAAATACAAACTGCACTAAGATAATTATCAATAAATAAGTGATTTAAAAGTTAGCAAACAACTGTATATAATGACTATAAAACAATCACTTCCTAGCCCATAATTAGTTCTATTCAAGAGAAGAAATTATAATAACAATTTCTATCTATTCCATTAGAAAAACACAGTAAACCAGAGATAACTGACCCTACACCCCACAATGCCCCATTGACTAACAAATATAAATAGTTGAGCTATAATCCAACCCACATGGCTTGAAGATTGCGTTAAAGTATGAAACAGACTGTCACCACTCGGTATTGACATCAGTGGCCACAATTTTTTTTTATATTTACACATTCTCTATCCCAGGTATTGAGCACTTCATAAATATAGCATACCTTAAAACTGTATTCTATCTATCTATCTATCTATCTATCTCTCACACACACACACACACACATTTATTTTCATCATTTACAATCAGACTTGTGTCCTCATCATTTGTTTTTGCCATGTTTTAATTTCATCAGGTGTATCTTGGTCCAGGTAACCTGCAGTGAATCCCAAACTGAACCCATTATTTAATCTATTGGGGTACTCTGTTTCAGTTCCACTACCCATGTCTATGGATATCTCATCTAGTTCTTATTTTTTGTACTGCTCAGTTATTACTTCCCCTGTTTCCACTGAGTGCAAGTGCACACTGCCTGGCTCAGAGATTGAATGCCCAATTACTTTCTTACCAAATTCACAAATCAATACTTGGCTATTTTCCCATATATATATGTGTGTGTGTTTTAAAATTGCAAACATTAAAGTTTAGAACTTTAAAAATTTGTAACTTTACACTTTAATGTAACAGGTGAATCAATAATTGACCCCCAAAAAAGAATCTAAAAGTGAACAAATATCATCCTTGTTATTACTTCTCTTTCTTATAGGTCTGATATAAATCCAGCTATAATTTTTTTTTTAACTCCATATAATACAGAACCAACTGGAATATTGCAAAGATAATCAAATGTCGTAATATTTTGACAAAAGGTCATGTGTCTGGAGACGAAAGAACTCCTTAATAATGTATTTGTCTGCTAACAAATGCTCAGCGCATACTACACACTGATTTGTAAAATATGTTTATATATCATACACTAAAGAATTGCTATACCCTAGGCTCTTCAATTAAAAATGTTTCAGTATCATTTTTTTCTAAAGGTCCTAACAGGTAAGAAGGTAAATGTAGATAAGGTTTATTAGTACATGACTAGTAAATTTTTTCAGAGTGTGGTAAATATCAGCTATTTTGACTAAAAAGAAAATTTTTTCTTGTGTCTATTTTATTGCATAATTTTTGTTGAGTGAAGTGAAATTATCTATTATGTATATTTGATGTAATCTTTTCTTTTTTTTTTCCTTTTTCCCCAGTGATGTCAAGAAGGCTCGTTTATTGCTCAAATCTGTCCGAGAAACAAATCCCAAACATCCACCTGGTAAGAAAATCATTGACTTTCTTCTACTTGTTAATTTTTTTTTTTTTTTTTTTTAAACAAGAATTTTAGAATAGAATTGACCAGCTTTATAAATTTCAAGTTCTTAATTCTCCTGTATTTCCTATAACTTTTGCATTGGCCCTTAATCTTTACTCCTCTGACCTATTCTGTATTTATTTTTATCAATAGAAACTGTAAGCTCTATGCTTTTTATTTTTGTTTTTTATTTATTTATTTTTTTGTAAATATAAAATAACAAAATGAATGTCCCTTTTAATTACTTTTCTACGGTGGTGTAATGGATAGCAGCTCCGATTGAGGAATCGGAGAGCCGAGTTTATTCCATTCAAATCCATTATATTCGCTTACGTGCTAATAGCCTTGGGAAAGGTATAAAGCCTCTTCTCTTCCCCCCCCCCAAGCTATGGGTAAATAGCAGGACAGACTGGGTTCTATGGCCTTTCATGGCAACTGGTCTACTGCAGAAAGAAATGGCAACCTAATGCAGGGAAGAAAAAATCTGCCTTGTCAGTCATGTATCAAGAGATACATGATCGTCTAAGTGTGTATCATACATGGCACATAACTGACTGGCCTTTCGATCCCCGTTTCACACCTCCTTATTTATGGGTTGTTACAAAACCAATTCATTTTATTTCTGTATTTGCATCTCTTTCATTGTAGCCTGGATTGCTTCTGCTCGACTGGAAGAGGTCACTGGCAAGGTGCAAGCTGCTAGAAATCTCATCATGAAAGGATGTGAAGAGTGTCCTAAAAGTGAAGATATTTGGCTGGAGGCTGCCAGGCTTATGGTGAGTGAAAACACAACTGTTTTTCTATTTTGTCAGACCTTGTATTGTGCCATGTGAAAATGTTACCAATATTCGTAATCTTTGTAGTATCCAAATATTTGATGCTTGAAACCTTTCCTACAATCTGACTTGTTAAAAAAAAATGTCTGAAGCAAGATGATTATGGATTTAAGTTCTAGTAAGATTTAAGTTCTGTTTTTGTTTTTATGCAATCAATGAATAAAACGAACTTGTTGAAAAACGAGTACATTTCCACATGGTCTGCTGATAAGAAAATGGATCCAATGTTCAGTGCTCTTTGTTATTATGAAGGTGCAGATGACCAGCTAATTGCTTGGAAAATGATGTTGGCAATCCAAGTTCCATTTTCAACTCAGATAGTTTGTGTTCATTAAAGAACCACTGAGAAAAAAGTTATTTTAATTTGAAATTTTTATTTATTGAAACAATTTGCAAGTTAACAATTGATGTGTTACTCACAAAGCCATTCATACAATCAGAAAGCATGCTAAAAAAAAAAAGCTATCCCTCCTACCACCAACCAACCAACTAACCGACCGACCAACCAATCCATAAGGTTTATGATGTACATACAGTAAATTAAAGAATATTTAAGAAAATCAATGTCAGGAGGGGGAAACATCATACTTAAGTGGTTATGCTTCCTGAAGAATTTTTCTTTCATTCTGAATTTTGATATTTGAAATAAAGTTTATTGGATTTAGTTTATGGAGTTTCATTTATTTTTTGTGCCATGAAGTGGTTATAGGTAGCATAGTATTTCTTATATATATATATATATATATATATATATATATATGTGTGTGTGTGTGTATGTGTGTGTGTGTGTGTATATATATATATATATGTGTGTATATGTATGTGTGTGTGTGTGTATATATGTTTGTATATGTATATGTGTGTGTGTATATGTATGTGTGTGTGTGTGTATATATATATATATATATATATATATATAATATAGAGAGAAAAATTGCTAAAGTGTTAGTGGCACATGGTCTAAAAAAAATACTAGTCACTGCACTATTGATCCCTTTGTCCAAACTATTTAAATACTCTATCTCTGATATTGTCTTCTCACTTCTCTCATAAATATAGAAAAAAAAATATATTCACACACACATTTCTAGCCCTTGAGATAATGATGGAGATGGTCTGATGTATTTGAACAAAAACAGATAATAATCTTTGAACATTTTATCCACAATTTTGATCCAAATGTGCAAGGACAACAACAACAAATATAAAACATTAAGAATTAAGTCTGTATTAATTACAATAAGTTGTTGCTTTATTCTGATTTCCCATTAAATAAAGATTATTATTGGTAGTTCTGATCTTTTTGCATATATAGGAAATCACATTTTAGGCTGCACGTAATGTCTTTCTCTCTTTCCTAGCCTGGTGACCAAGCAAAAGCTGTGGTTGCACAAGCTGTTCGCCAGTTACCACTTTCCGTACGACTTTTCATCAAAGCTGCTGATTTGGAAACTGAACTCAAAGCTAAGAAAAGGGTTTTCAGAAAAGGTAAGCATTGTACAATTTTAGACTAAAACTCAAAGCTAAAATAAGATGCTATTTAAACTCTGATCTATTCTTGTTCCTACAAAAATCATACACCAAGTATTTAAAAGGTTAACTTGCACTTTATAGATCTTTGGTTAGTTTAAATTATAGTTCTCCATATTGTTAAAGCTCACTTCTTGATTCCTCAAAGCAAACTGCCATTTTATTGCATGTCTTCTACTTTCTTTTTGACCCATTCTATCTGGGACCATTTTCTATTACTAATACACTTGTATTGTTCTGTGTCCATGTCATGTGCATATGCAATCTAAAAGACAGCCAGATAAACACCTTAAGGCAATTAAAACTGTTATATAGGAATAAAGTGTTGCTGCTGACACTGGAATTTGAACATAGATCGCCAGAGAGCAAACACAGGTGATTCCATTATTGAATTAAGTGGATCACTTGAACATGGGAGAAATACATAAGTAGGAAGTAGCATGGCGTGTAATTGATGACCATTTCTATTCTATCCTCTATTACTATACAAATCACTATTCTCTTCTCTACACTATTCTTTATACTGATCACTATTCAGTGGTTATTATACGAGTGAGTTATCGAGCAAGTACTATTAGTGCGAGTGATATTTGAAGGTGTCTGACACCAGTATTGTTCAACAGTGTTACTGTAATTGTATCTGCGATTACAAAGTCTCTACTACACCGAGCATTACAGAAGTGACAACAAGTATTCATTGACATCACAAAAAAAAACTCGGAAGACAATGAAGTTCCATTCATTGACAGGTTTATTGATCAAAAGGGTAAAACTGATAAAAGAAATAAAAACATAAATAAGACAAGCTAGTCTGAAATTACAAACAAACAAGGGTAACATGAAAGATGACAAAAGCAGCCAGAGGCTGAATATGTAAGTAAGACCATTTGTCTAAATGGATAAAAGAAGGCAGTGAATACTTTGTTTACATGAATGTGTATAAAGTTTGCTACAATAATACATTTCAGTGTTGCAGTCAGTTTGCAGAAGAAGGTTACATTTTGCAACAGTGTATGTGGGCAGTGGACAAATGTTGAAAGGTATCTACACAGAGAGAGATACAGATGTATGAAATATGGCAACATAAAACAGAAGGGTCAAATAATGACATGATAATAAAATAGACAAATACAGCAAGAAAAGATGATAAAAGTTACAAACCGGTGACGGTAACACTGAGGGTGAGATTAGGATGATGAAACTACCGACCACGTACTTGGTGCCATGTCTTTATTATGAGGGGTTCTGGTGAAGGGCTAACCAGAAGTGATCAAAATGGTGACTAATCTAAAAGATAACTAAACTAAGAAAAGGGACGAACAAAGAGGAAGTAAAACATTACAGTTTCCGTCCTGTAACAGAACATGGATCATTCTAAGGAACGTATTTGCCTTTAGCAACCTTTCCAAGTTAGTATTTAAAAAATGACTCATAACTAAAAGAAATATTTGAATATTAAAAGTAAATTTTTTTTTTTCTACCTAAAGATCAGAAAATTGTTAATTTTAAAATTTGTGCTTTTTTTTTTTTTTCTCCAGCTTTGGAACAAATCCCAAACTCAGTACGTCTGTGGAAAGCTGCTGTAGAATTAGAAGATGTGGAAGATGCACGAATTATGTTGAGCAGGGCAGTCGAGTGCTGTCCCACTAGTGTTGAGGTACATAATATTTCACCACTTTATACCAACAGCAATGTAACTAATAACACCTTGGAGTGTTGTTTAAGCTCTTTTACCCATTTAAATTAATTGGGACTTATAATTAAATCCGTTTTTGGTGTAATATATTCAACAATATGGCGGGATGTAAAAAAGAAAAAAAAGAGGTCATGGTTAGTGTGATCAAAGCACGTTTCTCAGATCAGGTAACGTGATCAAAAGTAAATGTGACTAAGTACATTTTGTGTGCTGATGTGGAATTTTTCCATTTCATACATATAAAAATTGCCCGGTAAGCATTTGGGTTCAGAGCAAACTTCCCTGCTTTTACCTGTGGTTGGAAGTGGATCAGATGGTTTGAAATAGGAAGACATTATCCCTTTTTTAATCTTTCTCTTTCTCCCCATTCTATACATGGGAAGAAAGACTTTCAACTATAGAACAGGGAGCTATACTGTTTGTCTAATTCTATTACCATGGTAACAGAAGATCAGTGGTTGTTGAACAATGTTTCAACATTATTATATTGGTTTTTTTTTTTCTTTTTTTTTTTTTTTTTTTTTTTTTTTTTTTAATGGTAAAAGAATTAATTTTATATACATATAGTCAGCAATAATGTAAGTCATAATCTTCAAGAAAAAAGTTTTTTCTTTTTTGCCTCAAATTATCTTCTTCTTGTTGCCTTCAGCTGTGGCTTGCCCTGGCTCGCCTGGAGACTTATGAAAATGCCCGTAAGGTGTTGAATAAAGCTCGTGAGAATATCCCTACCGACCGCCAGATTTGGGTGACTGCTGCAAAACTGGAAGAGGCTCAGGGTAATAACCATATGGTTGAGAAAATCATTGAAAGGGGTAAGTCTTGATTTTTTTTTTTCTTTTTTTTTTTTTTCTTTCTTCTTCTTCATTAACTCTGGGAAAACTAGATTTTTACTGTTGAGAAATCGGTTTTCATGTAATTCTTCACTCAATTTACACATTTCTCTTTGTAATGATTTCTTAAACGTGGTAGTTTGCTTTCGTGTCTCTAGCCAATATTCTTAATATTCTGAACTATTTCTGTCTGTTTACATTCAGAACAAAAGCTGCTTTAAATATTTTCTTCCTTAACTTTTCCATTTTTTGTGACATTCATAAAAACAAATTTTTTTTTTTTTTTTTGTTCTTGCCAATGATTTCTTTGATTGTTCTTGAATTTTCACAATTTCTGTGTCCACAGCACTCAATAACTTTTTTTTTTTTTTCTTATGTATGAGATATATATATATATATATATATATATATATATATATATATATATATATATCAATTAATACACAAAATTCAAAATCACCTCATTTGGGAGATATATATATATATATATATATATATATATATATATATATATATATATATATATATATATATATATATATATTAAAAAGATATATGATGGTCACAGAATAGCAAGTTGTAAATTCATAATACGGTTCTATGATGTCGTACATGACCACATTAGGAAATAAATGTTATCAACAGAATCGTGTTTAATTGCATTGTAATATTCTGCAACCATTATCATCACGTAGCAAACTTCTATGTAAAAATAACATTATGTCATCTTTCATATAACCACTCTGATGGTGCCTCTTGTGAGCCAGGTCTCTGTATTCGGCCCTTCAAAAAGTGTGGTTGGTTCTGCACAAAGCCTTCACCACTATAATCAAATCATATGTGCTGGTGTCTGGGCTGTCGGTTCCTAGGAATGGAGCTGCTTGACCCTCATATGTCAAATACGATGGGAAAGTCCACCACCATATATATATATATATATATATATATATATATATATATATATATATGTGTATGTGTGTGTGAAAATATATGGAAAATAGGAAAGAACTCGTTATGTAAACAATCCAAAGTTCTTTAGTATTTCTGTTTTTATTTTTAAAAAACAGTGCTTGATACAAAAGTAGAGCCTAAATATAATTATTTATTTAAAAATATGATTCCATCGCTACATATGAGTTCTCATGTTTCAAAACAAGAGCTGCAAACTTCAATATAAGCTCTGTTCCATCTTCAAGCAAAATTTTTGGATTCCAAAATTTTGCTTGAAGATGGAACAGAGCTTGGTACTTTAATTCAATTTAATTCTAAGAATTGAAGTTTGTGGCTCTTGTTTTGAAACATGAGAACTCTTTATGTAGCAATAGAATCATATTTTTAGATAAATAATTTTTTATATGTGTGTGTATATATATATATATATATATATATATATATATATATATATATATATATATATATATATATAGTTTATTCAAATTTAGCTAATCCGTATTGGTAGACCTGAGGAGGATGATATCCAGAGAGCTCAATGTAAGATTCAGTGCATATATGTTTGAATAAAAAGACAGACGTTAAAAGATTCCATGTAATAAGCTATTTCACCATAACCCCTTTTACAGGGTTCTGGATCATCAGACTTTTACTTCAAAAGCTGAAATGAAGAATTCTTCATTTCAGCTTTTGGAAGTAAAGTCTGATGATCCAGAACCCTGTTAAAGGGGTTATAGTGAAATTGCTTATTACATGGAATCTTAACGTGGTCTGTCTTTTATTCAAAAAATATATATATATATATATATATGAGAGAGAGTATTAATACAAATAAAATTTCTCATCTGATAGATGTTATATTCAGCAAATCAACTCTGGAATTTCTTAAACTATTTTGTAATCATTCTGTTCACTTGTTAGGAGGTTTGAGCAATTGACTACAGAATTTTTCAGTTTAATTATTTTTATATTCAGTTAAAAATTAATTTATGCTCTAGATATTTGTGTTAGGTTGATTATTTTTATTTGTTTTCCCCCTCTTTTTGTGTTTCTGTGCATGTGTGTCACATGTTGTGATTATTTTTCCTTTTCATCATTTTCTTGTTTCCTTATACTCTCTCCCTATTCTGTTGCCGCCTTTTTATCCTCTCTTTCGACTCTGAATGTCAAAGATAATGTAACAATGACATTTCCAGTATTACAGACAGGACTTTTTGTGTTTTTAGGCTAATTCGTTTTCTCGAATGTTCTGCATTTTTATTAAGTTATATATATAATCTGAAATTAAACATTAATTTTAATAACTAAAGCATATATTAACTGTTGTACAGTAAAGAGTACACTCCTGGTGACTTTATGAACTCATCCAATACTATATAAAAAGTTCCATGGTATGAGGTCCGGTAGTAGTCATATTGGAGTCAGTCTTCATACTAACTATAAAAGTGTACAACCTAAGCATCATGTATAGAGAATACTTAACGTTATACCAAGTACAAATGTGTGTCTCAACAATAAGAAGTTATAATAGCTGGTGATGAGGAACTCTAACACAAATGCTGGATAAAATCATAACATTATAACTAGAATTATAATAGTTGGCAACAAGGAACTTGAACTCAAGGGCAGTATAACAAACACCACATTATAATTGGAGTTATAATAGTGGGAGACCAGATTTTGAAGCTGACATGAGCAACAAGAGTTACAAGAATTTCAACCTCATTGGTTTAAAAAAAAAGAATTTTCTTAATAATATGGAGAAAATTTTGGCTTCCATTGTTAAAATTCAACAACAGAAGCAACAACAACAAAGTATGCAACAATTGCTACAGTTGCAAAGACAATGAGTTGTTGGAAGTTATTTTGAAGAAGAATGCTTTAATGTCTCTTACGCCAGATGATGGACTGATTTTTTGCTGTGTATTTTTGCAGACATGAAGAAATATTTAGTCAGGAATATAGTGGCTGGGAAGACGATAAAAAAAAAAAAAGGTTGTTGTTAAGAAAGATATAGCTCCAATATAGTATGAAAGGTAGGGCAATTATATTTTACTAAGAAAACCAGGTGAAATAGGGTTTGAAGTCACAGTACACATTCTGACAAAACCTTTTAATGACAAGTGCATTCTGTTCTATGCTTGTTAGAGGTGCATGAATTTAATTAAAAATAGGATGAAGATTTTGTCATATATACGGATACCATCAACAGAGAATGTGAACAACTAAAAAAAATGGCTCCAAATATGTTCAAGGGATTAATTTTCATGCAAGGTCTAACAGTGAAAAAAGAGACTAAAGTACAAACGAAAATTTTAGCAAACATTGAACATAATAATAATAATAATAATAATAATAATAATAATGTAACACTACAGGAAATAGTGATCAATTGCCAAACAATGGTAAGTCTGAAGCATGATGCTGAAAAACATCAGAATAGAGAATGTGCATTGGTAAAAGCTAAGGAAAAATGCACAAAAAGCAATATAAAACCTTGTTTCAGATGTGGAAAATTACATCTTAGGAAAGACTGTCCATGGGAAAATGTAGAATGCTATAACTGTGATAAAAAAAAGTACATATCAAATCACAATGCAGAACTAAATCAAGAAAAAAATTTTGCAGGAAGAAATTAATGCACAATATTGCAACAGAAAACATGTTAACTATGCAGACATACTGCAATAGCTTAAGCATTATGTATAGAGAATATTTAACAAAGTATGTTATACCAAGTACGAGTGTGTTATAACAATAACCATACAATAGGAAGTTATAATATTAACAATCTGATGAACAACTCTACAATTACATAATAAAATTTCCCACCAGCAAATAAATTATTTCAAATATTTATGACAAAAATAAATATAAACAGAAATTCATGTGGTATAAATGTAATCATGTCCTGAAAACTTTACCATCAATTGATTTATAACAATGTTGTGAAAACTTTTTTGATTAATAAAATTTGTTACAATGCAAATATACAGCAAATGCTTGTGATAAGGACCAAAAGAATAATCTTGTTTTATTTTGGTGCTGACTGAATTTAAACCTAATTGTAAAGTGACAAGGTTTCTACTTTGTTTATTGCTGCTTCAAGTCCATTTTCTGAACAAAGTAAATATTGAGAGAGATTAAATACAGAATTTTCCAATTTTTGGTTTAAAATGTAAGCCACTTTACTTGTCTGTCTATACGCTGAAAATCGGATAAAAAGGATTTTTAATAGTCAAGAAATAAAGCAAACATTGCTAACAGATTAAAGCTTTCATATGTATAATATAAGAAATGTATTACAAATGATTTTATTATAAAAATATATTAAAACCCAGGAAGAAAGTGATTGTCTGTGGTTAGGAATTAAGACATTTATGACTGACAAAAGAAAAATATTGAATATAATTTTTCAAAATGAAACTTATTGGGCCATGATTATAAGGCAACTAATGAGGAGTAAAGAAGAGTTAGAAAAAGTATGGTAAGGAAGTGACTCTAGCTTTTGACTGAAAATCTTGAATCAAACTCCAGATATAACATTTCTAGAGAACCTCCATTGAAACCTGTGGAAGGAGAATCATAAGATTTAACCAAATTTATGTCTCTAGAAACTGCTTTCTTGCAGCTTTGCATTCACTGAAAGCCAACATGGTGGAAATAAACAGGGAACAATGGATTCGTGATGCTGAAGATTGTGAAAAGGCCAACAGTATTCGTACTTGTCAGGCAATTGTGTAAGTTGATTTGTTTTTTGTTTTTCTTATAAAATATTCTCTTGTTTTGTACAACTTTTTTTAAAATGCTGGCTATTATTTAAGTGTATTGATTGAAATATATTTATCAATGCATACAAAAGTGTTATTAGAAACATAGAAAATACTGTTGAACTGCTGTGTTGTATCAATCTTCTTGTATGGTAGTGAATGCTGGATAATTCCCATACAGATAAAAAAGACAGTGACAGTGGGTCTAAAAACAGATGTTGAGAATACCATAGCCAGAACATGTGAACAATGAGGAAGTTCTAAACAAAATGGATACAAGGACACTAATACTTAAAATCAGGAAAGAGGCAATTGAAATTTAAGGTAGACACGAGGAAAGATTGATGGCAAAGAGTCCAACATTGCTTATGGTAACAAGGAACAGAAAGTTGTGGAGAGCCATGATTGCAGTGCTAGTTCCAAATTCAGTGCCTAGGCAATGGTTGAGAAGCTAGCTTGGTTGACTTATTACTAGTGAGTAATTTAATCCTCATTTGGTGCTTCATATTTTAAACTTAGTAAATGACCACACTAGTTCTTAGCACTTCCTGTAATGATTCTCTAACACTCCAATTTCATAAGAAATTTCTGGTGAGAGGGCCACACTTTGTTTAAAACAGTCTCACTCTTTTTCTTTTCATTTTTTCTAATTAAAAGGAATCAGACTTGCTCATCTTTAGTCACAGAGTTTACCTGATTGGTAAATATACTAAGAATGAGACAAGAAGCTAAAGTTAATTGTCAGTTATGAAGTAAGATTATTCTCATCATTTTAACCTTTTTTGCTATTTTAATATATGATTAAAAATTTATGGAAATGTTAAATTTATTTTGTTCATAGTCGTGCTGTTATTGGAGTTAATGTTGAAGAGGAAGACCGTAAACATACCTGGATGGAAGATGCTGAGTCTGTGAGTTTCTGGGGTTTTCTTCTCTTTTTCTTGGTGAATTGCCTTTTTAGTATTTCTATTAAGGAATGAGAATTGGTAAGGAATGATGCCAAAATATTAGCCAGTGAGAAGCATCAACAGTGGCAACATTGCATTAATTTATGATAAAAACACAATGTCTGACTATGTCTACTAAGCTCTACATTTTGTTTTTCCATTCATTAAAATTTTTTTTTTTTTTTTTTTGTGAATTAAAAAAAAAACTTGCTGGACTATTATAAAGCTCAAATATTTTTGATGTGCTCTCTCTCAGCCAGAGCCATGTTGTAAATGTTTTGAAACCTAAATTTAATCAAACTTTTATGAATTGACTTCATTTTGCATATCATCTGGTTCAAAATCTTTTGAGCAACATTATCCTTCTTTTCCTGTTTAAGATTGGTTTTTTCCAGTTCTTTCTGTCTCAGCATAAACTCTGAGATTTTATTTTTACCCTCCCCACTGCATGCTCGTGAACACACATGCACACACACACACACTCTTTTACCTCAATAGTAGTGGTTTATCCTTTGTTTCATGTTTAGAATTAGATTTCCAGTTCCTTCTAGAACAGACATGTCCAAAGTTTGGCCTGTGGGTTCATTATGCCCTGCAGTCAAATTTCATATGGCCCCTATCCTCTGTCATAGAATGTATCACTTATGGACCGCCAGTATTGTCAATCAGTGTATGTAAAGTACACACCTCAGAAATGCAATTTCATGTTTTACCAAAAGATGGCAGCAACACTGTGTGGCCACCCTCTGACAGTGTGACCTTGGCCTTTTCCAGCCAATTTCTAAAATCACTGCTTTTGAACTAGACCCCTGTCTTTGAACCAGACCTAGCCTACAACCCCTGTCCAGACCTCATTATTACCCTTCACATTAGTGCAGGTAAGTTGTTTTGGTCATCTGAGATGAATAAATTCTAAAATCTTAGTGAATTAAATTTGTTTTATGTTGGTCAAAATCCGATATAAATCTATTTGGACAACTTGGACTTGTGTCACTTTGTTTTCTACTTCTTAATAAGATGAATGTTGCTGTTTATGTTCCTATACATATGTTTTTAACTTAAAAGTTGACAGACAACATTAATTACCAATAATATGTAATGTTTAAGATTAACCTGAGATATAGTATAGCTTCCTCAAAGTTGTTTTATCTCGGGCATATTTTACTTCAGGCATATTTTACTTCATCTTATAGTGGCTTCAGATATGACAGGTTGAGGGATTTTGATAAGACCTGTTTAAATCTATTTGTCATGTGAAGAAATGGAAATATGCCATTTGCAATAAAATTTTTATAAGATAGTGCATTTGCATTTAATTTTAATGGTTTAAAGAATGCAAAGCAAAATGGTTGGACCTTACGCATATTCACCTCATTAAATCTGGTCCTCTTTGAAAAAAGTTTGGGCACCCCCTGATCTAGAGTCTTTTCCTTCTCTTTCACTTCCTTGCATCTTAGTGGCATTATTTCCTTGCTTGGAGTGAAAAAAAAAAAAAATATTTTGTATGTGAGATTTGGATTCTTTTTTTTTCTTCTTCTTCCAGTGTGCACTCCATGGTGCTTACGAATGTGCTAGAGCCATTTATGCCTATGCTTTGTCAGTATTTCCCAGCAAAAAAAGTATTTGGCTTAGAGCTGCTTATTTTGAGAAAAATCATGGATCAAGGTAAGCAAATTCACATTCATCAATTTTACTGGTCAAAACATTTTTTTAAATAGTATTTTAATTATTATTATTCTTTAATTATTATTAGTCTCTTAAAATCAATAAAACAAAGTTATTGCTTCATAATTCTAAAAATATTACAGTACCATTATAATAATATTTTAGGCTGTTGTATCAGGTTATTGATAAACTGTTTAACATGTGATATCTGAATTTATTAAATACACGTGAAAAATTCCATGATGCATTTTGGGTATAAACAGATTTAACAAACACAGTGTGCAGCAGAAATACCTCCAACATAATGGTAAGACATTAGTGGCAATGGTGTCTTCATCTAACTGTGTATTTTTGTCACACCCTGTATAATTTTAAAAATTGATCATTTAATACATTATCTATTTTCCCACTAATTTTTTTTTTTTGTTCATACAAGGCCCAAGGGTCACTCAAGGTAGAGGATTACTGAATGAGATTGTAAGGTGGTGGGAAGGGAAAATAAGAGAGGGTTTTAGGAGGACGAGGAGATTAGATATCAGTTGACCCTAGGCTTAAAGACACCAAGATTATAATTGTCAAAGAAGCATTCTCTCAGGAGTTTGTTCTACAAAGTAACAGTTCTGAGGAAGAAGCTGCCTGATTGGAACTTGCTTTTTATCAAAGGAACATGGTGGGAATGTGGGACGGTTTGCAACTGTGGATATGGCACAAGATGTTAACTTCAAAGATAAACCCTGATGGTAGAACAGGTACACCTCCCCACATACTCTTTCCAAATATTTTTTTTTTTATGGTCCACACTTGATAAGTATTCATTTTGGCACAAGAAATAGAAAAAAGTCAATCACAGGGCCATGAATAACGTTCACTGGTAGGGGGTGCTTAAAAGTAGGATTCATTGTCATTATTTTTAGCCTAAGAATCTTTTTGAGTCTTCAAATCTGTATGGTGTGCATTAGAATCAGGGCTGGGGGCAGGAATTGTCAGTAATTGGGAAATGATAGCAGTATGACTTAGAACTTTAATCTCTCTCTTATCTGTATGTCACCAATTAAACATTTTGTACCATCAAGTGAACAGTAAATAAAATTGATGGCAATTATATGTTCATCTCTGCCACTTAAACAGACTTTGATGGGATCTTTACTCCCCCAAAAACATTTAATATTAGGGCACCATATTTAGGATGCAGAGCATTTTGAGGCAATTGGTTGTTCAAAAATCTATGCACTATGTTCCCTTACAGTGACCCTAATACTGTGTAGGGGTGTGTGTGTGTGTAGGGGGTTTCCATCCTCTCTAGAGGATATGTGAATAGGACTTCCCTAAGCCAGGCTGACAAGGAATGAGATAACTTTGTCTATTCTTGAAACATTGACACTAAATGATTCTGACACATGACTATTCTTTACTCTCCTCTCTGCCACTCTATTTTGCAGTTTCATTTTTAGTAGCATTATATTAATATATAATATGTTTTTCTACAGTGTTAAAAAATATTATTGATAGAGAATATATTACAAAAGACAGGTACTGCTTGAACTTTAGATTCATATCTATCTATAAGAAAGCCAAAAGTACTTAGACATTGGACAATTTATATTTGAATAACTATTTGAAAACAGGAAAATGGTCAGAAATATAAAAAAAAAAAATTATCCTTATTGGGGACATTTGTTGACCTTTAGCCAAATTTATGGATTCACGCACAAGGGTGTGTTGAAAAGTTTTTGGCTCATCCCATTTTCTCAAATCTAACCAAATGACAAAACATCAAAATTTATTGAAGGGCTTTTTTGGTTAGGCCAAGAACTTTTCAGCAGGGCTGTGGAGCTGGAGTCAGAAGCAATTAAGGGGTCACTGGAGTTGGAGTCAGTATAGTTTTACAAACTCCAACTGAATTTACACTTTATGTAAAAAGTCTAACCAAATGAATTTTTTTATTTTTATTGTTATTTCTTCTACTGTAGATTTACTTATTTCATTTTTTTAAAAAAAATTCATTTTAACTTCTTTTTTAAAGTCATTTTATTTTTTGTAGTTATTTTGTATTTGCAAAACTATCTATGTAAAAAAAAAATCTTACATTATAGAATTTTTATTTTTGTTATGTCTTTTAAATGCTCTAAAAGATTATATTTCAACTTCTGTTAAAATATAGTTTCATTTTTGTTCTTTTCTTATTTCTTATTTGAAAAGATGTGTGTGTGTGTGTGTACTTATAGCATTTTATTGTCATTTCTTCTATATCCTTTTAAAGATTTTGTCTCTAATTCTGTTAGAAAATATTGAAGAATGAATAAGTATGATATAAAAGCCACAATATCTTTGATATAAGCCAGTTATAATGATATAGGCCTACTCAAGTTAGGAATGTATGCATAGGCTTTATGAGATTTGTAGACCATAATTACTTAATTAATTAAAGAGGAGTCAAATGTTTTCTGTTCCAACTCCACAGTCCTGCTTTTCAGCACAATAGGGGTATGTGAGTGTATATATATATATATATATATATATATATATATATGTGTGTATATATATAAAATATAAAAATGCACACAAAATGAAAATAATATTACAAGGCTGTGCTAAATTTGAAATATCTGATTACTTAGCTTTTTCTGTGTTCAGTTTAATGTAATTATTGATTTCATTTTTATAATACAACTCTGATGCTGAATTGATAGTGGTTGTTTTTTTTGTAGAGAATCCCTTGAAGCTCTGTTACAAAGGGCAGTGGCTCATTGTCCAAAAGCGGAAGTTCTCTGGCTTATGGGAGCAAAATCAAAATGGCTGGCCGTAAGTAGCCTCCAATTTCTCTTTCTTGACTATCACATTTATTACTTTTCCTCTTTGGTCACTATCAAAGAGTGCATCATCTTGACCTATGCTATCTTGTCTGTTGCTTTGACCATTTCCCTGTTCAGCTATTACATTTTTTTTCACCTCCTGAATATTTTATTAGTTTTATTATTTACTTTTCACTAAACCTCAATTCTCCACCTCTGAATTTTTTTTTCTCCTTTCTTTGCTAATTTGAAACAAATATCTTGTCTGTTTTTAGGGAGATGTTCCTGCTGCTCGTAGTATCTTGGCATTGGCCTTCCAGGCCAATCCAAACAGTGAGGAAATCTGGCTGGCTGCTGTGAAACTTGAAAGTGAAAATAATGAATATGAAAGAGCTCGGCGACTCTTGCAAAAAGCCAGGGCCAGTGCTCCAACACCTCGGGTAAGTCATTATTGCTTTCCTAACCAGAATACTTCTTCATAAGATAATCTTTATATTGTTGATACGTCTTAAGCATTTCTGTCTCTTTTTTTTTATTTTAGGTGATGATGAAGTCTGTGAAACTTGAATGGTGCTTGGGTGAGATTGACAATGCGAAAATGCTTTTGGATGAAGCTGTAAAACATTATCCAGATTTTGCCAAGGTAGACCATTCATGCCTTTTTTTTATATTTATACTACGTAAGAACTTTTACCAGATTGATTCTCATCCTGGTTATGATGATAAACTACATTTGGCAGCCTCTGATACGGGAGCTTTTGAGGAGTGTGGAATCACCTCTTAATTGCTGTTGTTCCTAGGTTTCCCCTGACCCAGAATGGTAGCACCTCTTAGGGTCCCAGCTCTGGGCAAATAGTGAGCCCCCCCAAACTGGGGTCAAAACACTATGAAAGTATAAAAATAGAATTTTATAGTAAAAATACCAGCAATACATTCTTGAAAAAAAAAATATATTACCAGCAATACACTTAACTCTCGACAGAAACCCTCTTTACTAAAATATGTCAATGAATCTTGATCTACAAACTGATTTCTTACAAATAGATTTTCTATTCATATGAACCTATTCTAAAAGTCTTGCCAGCATTAAATAACCCTTTGACGTTGATATGTCATAAAACAAAATAAACAAAACCAATTGATTCCATTGCTGGTGTAATGCTTAAGATTAGCTGTTTGACCGATCGTACATTATGTAAAATGTTGGCCCTTTGAATTTCTTGCCAAGGCTCTAACATTGTACATTTTTAACTGCTACCAACATTTACCATGCAGTAGTGAGTGGTTAGCATGCTCACCTTGTAAGTCATTCTTAGTGGGTTCATTTTTCACTGGACATCATTTAACATGTTGGCGTCCACATGACCCTCCAGTAGGTTGTCTTCCAATATTTTTTTCTATTGAAGATCATTGGGAGTGGGATGCTATGATTGACTGCTTATGAGATCATGGTACACCAGAATCACAAGTACCGTCCTTCTTTGAACCTTGTGGACTGGTGCTACAGAATCACAAAGAACAGTACCAAATGACAAGCCACCTAACTTGAAGATGTTGAACAACAGCAATAGCTAAAATGAGTAACACATCTAAGAGAAAATAAAGATATCATGAAGATGTTGACGTTCCATACAACTTCAAATAAAAGGTTAAAAAGGAAAGACAATCATCAATACTGGGAAGAACAAGAATATCTACTGGACTTGAGAAACCTATATTCCTGAAAAATTATTTTAAGAGAAAGATTTTATAAATTTCAACCAAAAGTAGCACTAGCTGCTCAGTCAATGAATGCCACCAAATATTTCCTTATGGCTAATACTACCATTACCATAGGCACTAGTATGAATACTCATTATTATTATAATAATGATTTCTTTTAGAAATTCAAACAAATGTGTAAAATCTTTAAAAAAAAAAAAAAAATGGAATCTGTAATTTCTTTTATCCACAAGAGTAATAATTAATAACCACTAAATCTCAACTTGCTATTTGAAGGTTTTAGATGCTTTTTCTAGATTTACTTTCTGTACCTTTTGTAATGATCAGGAAGTCAAGCAAGGTTTTGTTTTTTTTTTATAAAAAGTTGTTTCAATGGCAAATTGTTAAACTACTTTACCAGTTTGATTAATGAAGAATGTCTTCATACTATCAACTCTATTATTAAACCTTTTAATATTAATAATATTATTCAATTAATAGTAAATCTTACAACCTTTTTTTAATTTAATTACTACAGCTTCAGAAGAATTGCATTTATGGAAGTATCAGAAAATATAAATGGATTAAGTTTGTTTTTAGTCCACTGATATTTACATGAGATGATTTCAAAAGTTATTGAAATTACAAAAAGTTTTTTCTACATAAGTTTCCCCTTTGTGAGAGTCGTCCACTTTGTTTTGTTTTCTAGCTTTGGATGATGAAGGGCCAAATTGAAGAGCAACGTGGCAATACAGACCTTGCTCGAGATGCTTATAATCAAGGGGTGAGTAAAAGTTTAATACATAACACCTACCTGTTATCTCTTTTTAAAAATAGTTCCTATATAGATAGGACCGATTTGTGAAATATTTGGTTTCATGTTTTCTTGCTCCTTTTGACAGAATTTTAACATAAAATCATATTCTGGACTTAGGCGAAAATAAAAATTCTAAGTTTGAAAATTTTTTTGTGCAAAATATTTTATTTTTCACAAAACAATGAGATTGTATAGGAAAGTTTAAAGCAAACAAACAGTATATGAATATTACTCTGCATTTGATAGGTTGACATCATGGACCTGCACAACAAAAGCCTTGATCAGTACAATTTAAAGGTTGGAAGGATTTGTGGTTAATTAGTATAACATTTCAGACAAATTTAGAAGTATCTCTAACTTTAACAGAGATTGAAAAATAATAAAGAAATAGGCTTTTTATATATATATATATATATATATATATATATATATATATATATGTGAGTATCTACTAAAAATAACATTTAAGTCAGTGGTTTCCAAATGGTGCCGCATGCCTCATAGGTGCAACAGAATGATTGGAAATTCATATGCAAAAATAAAGAGGATTTCGAAATTTAAAATGTCATAATAGATTACTTGTAATTTGCATGCATGTAATCCAGTATAAAGAGTTATAAATAATTATTGACTGATTTTATCATTGTGATATTTTTACATTATATCAATTATTAAGAATATAGTAATTAGGGTCCACAAATTGGAGGAAAGAATTTCCAATGATAATGTTCTGACATAAAATCTCCGGTTATCTCCCTTTAACCCTCTCTCTGTTTTTTATTTTTAAATGTACTTTTTATCACACAAATTTTGGTGATGCACAAGCAAATTTTCATTCCAAAAATGCGGCCCAGAAAAAAAAAAAAGTTGGAGAACCACTGATTTAAGTGACAGAATCTGTCAGATTAACATAATAAAAAAATCCATTACTTTTATAGGAATATAATTTATATATAATTATATAATTCTAGGCTCATTTTCCAGCTTATATATGGCACTCTTCATTCCATCTCTCATAAAAAAAAAAATGATGCAAATGTTACATTGCCTGTAATATATTGGTATTACAAATAGGAAGGTAGTTACCAAAGGGTTTGTTTTTTTTTATATATATTTATATACACACACACACACACACACACAGTAAGAGGCAAAAAAATGGACACACCCATAAAAATGATGAACAAAATATAAAGCTTATTACATTTGTATTTTATTAACATGCTTATGCATTGTTCTGACTTCGAGAAAAGGCCAAGTCGCTGCTTTTCATGATCTTGGGCTGTCAAATAGTGCAATAGATGATAAGATTGACATGAGTCATGTGTCCACAAGTTAATCAAAAAGAGAAATCAAACTAGAACATATAATAGACGTAGCAGATCTGGCCAACCACTAAAAACTACCCACTAGGAAGATAGAAACTTGGTTCACTAATGCAAAAAAAGATTGATTCATAACAACCCAAGATGTTTCCAAAGCAGCTAGTTTGGCAGTTTCTTCAAGAACAGTCAGATGCAAGCTTAAAGCAAAAGGCATTGTTTCCAAATAAATAAAAAAGAAAACTTTCATATCTGGAAAATAAACTGACTGGCACAGTTGGTTTGGTGCAAAGCTCATTTACACTGGACTAAATCTGATTGGGAAGATGTTATGTGGAGTGATGAGAGACCTTTTACGTTTAGATATGAAGGACGAATATATGTTTGGTGTATGCCCGCTGAAAGAAATACTCCAGTGACTACCAAGGGCACTGTTAAACATGACAAAACCATCAACGTTTGGGGTGCATTCTCAACAGCAGGAGTTGGTAATTTCTACAAAATCAAGGGAATCATGGATCAGCATCAATACCACAACATTCAACAAATTAATCATTTGTCTTGGTAAAATTACAAACATCGACTTTCTATGTGTGTGTCCATGTTTTTGCCTCTTGTTTTTATATATATATATATATATATATATATATATATATATATATATATATATATATATATAATGCATCATTCATTAATCTTTATATTCTGTCCGTTCAGGACATAAGCAATCATGACTCTTCACAAATTATTTATTATTTGAGTGATAGGCATAGAGTACTTTCTCCACTTTACCTTCTCTACAGTTTTGAATTCAGTCTACATGCACGGTGAGTAATGGATAGCATCTTGGATTTAGAAATCAGAGAGCCAAGTTCAAATTCCAGTTGAATCCATTACATTCACTTACATGCTAATACCTGTGGGAAAGGTATGAATCCTCTTCTTCTCCCCCCCATCTATGAGTAAATAGCAGGACAGACTGGGTTCTATAGTCTTGGATAGCAATTGTTCTACCACAGAAAGAAATGGCAACCTACTGTGGGGAAAAAATCTGCCTCATCAGTCATGTATCAAAAGATACATGATCACCTAAGCATGTATCACACATAGTACATAACTTACTGACTGACTCTTATTAACCCATGGCTTTGAGAGGAAATGAATTTAGCCTTTCCTTTTTCAGCATCGTCTTGATGCCATAATTTGAACTCTGCTGGCTGATTCCCTCTTTCAGTGCCTATAACTGTCGGCTTTGTATCTATAAATTCCTGTTTTAAAATATTAGTTATCAGAATTATCATGCTCTTTAATTTTATTGGCCTAACACTTGGCCATGTGATCATTACACACAGTTTATTTGCAACTACACAAAGCTGATGAAAAGAAAAACTCAGTTTCCATTATATGAAAGTTTTTGAGAAAAAAAAGTCTTGTAACTTTTACAACAAAGTGTCCCAAAAGTCAAAAAGTGGTTTCTTTCTTCTACCAAGTCTCTGGTGTATGAGATTCAAAACTTTCTTGTCTCATTGTACATCTATATAATAAGTACAAATGTCAGTGTGTCACTGTGTCACACTTTTTCAACTTTACTCCTAGAGGCTGGAACCCAACATATCATACCATTTTGGAATCAGGCCAACTTCATGAGCAAATTAAAAACATTCTGGACCGGATCCAGACCCACAATCCTGAAATTTTGGATTCCCAAGTTTTCAATATTGCGATTGTTTTTGATGATTGATTTTTTTTTTTTTTTTTTTTTTTTTTGCTACAATTTTTTTTGTACAATGATAGTTTTTATAACTTGGAAATAAATTTGGGAATAATTGAAATTAATTGGGAAATCCAGCAAAAGTCACCCATGAAATAAAAATAATTTTACAGAATGTAAGGTCCTACATGCAGAAAATTGTCTTTAAATTAAGTGGCAGCAGAAAAATTATCGTTGAACTTTTAAAAGGTGAGCTTAGATATTAAGACAATACTTAAATGCAGTGATCAATTTTAAGTTCTTCTGTAGTTTATTGTTGCCTATCACATCTAATCCTCCCTACCTATTGTGATGAAGATCTAATCAAAGAACCCTCTGCAGGAACTAGATTAAATGCCACCCAGTAAGACAACTTTTAAGCTAGTATTATATATATATTTTTGTTCTTCTCAACAGAAAACCTCTACAATGTATTATTCTACTTACATATGGATGTCTTAATTATGACTTTGTTTCATGCAAACTCAACTGTCTCTCTTTCATCAGTTCAGCTTTCATTAGAAATTAAAATGGACTAATGAGCACCCCCCCTCTTTTTTGTTAGCCTCCTCCTTGAATATTTGTGTCCCAAGTATGATGGAGGGAGAGAGAATTGGGTAACCTTAAACCTTCTTACCTGCAAAAAAAAAAAAAAAAACACAGTGTCAAAAGGACAGTTTTTCCTTTGACACTGCTATTATTTTAACTACCATCACTCCTCAGCAATGTTTATTGTTTTAAAAAGCCATGATTAGAATTTTAATAAAACCTAAACATATGAGAGTGGATTTATACATTTTCTTGAGAATTGACAATAAAAATAATAAACACTATTCCTTTATTAGATTGTTTATTTACACTATTATCTTAAATGTATTGGAATGGTTGGCAAAACACCAGGTAATTACCAATTGATTTGACTGTTATAAAATGTTAAATAATAAGCCTTTCATTATAGTTGTTTCACATATTTTTATAATTTAGTGAATTTGATAGATTTATGGCTAAAAAATTGTTTATTTATTTCTATATAAATTGTTAAATGGTAAATATTGCATCACATTAGTTTTAATACAATTAGTTTTTAGAATGTAAATATAAAATTATTTTTGTAAATAAACAAACTAATAAATAAATACTGTTTAATATTTTTGTTGTAGATTTACAAGAACACAAAAAAAATGTATAAATTCACTTTCGTCATATGTTTTGTTTTTATTAAAATGCTAATCCTCATTAAAATAATCGATGTAAAGGGAAAACCTGTCCTTCCAACACATTTTTTTTTCTTGTATTCACAAAAGTTAATGATTGCTGAGAATTGATTAATACATATTACTAATAAATCTTATGCGTTCTGCGCACCTTTAGTAAACTTTTTTTGTTTTTTTTGTTTATACAGTTGAAGAAATGTCCAAATGCTATGCCTCTCTGGTTGTTGTTGTCGCGGCTTGAGGAGAAAGTAGGGCAACTGACCAAGGCTCGCTCAATCTTAGAGAAAGCTCGTCTGAAGAATCCTCACACACCAGATTTATGGCAAGTAAAAATTTTACCTTCAATAATTATCACGTATTCATTTACAAAACGACATATAATTAAAAATAAATTAATACAGTGTCTCTTGTCATTTAAAAACACTTTGTTTTATGATAACTTTTGAATTTGAAACTAAAACTTCATGAAAAATTCAGTGCATGTTCACTAAAGACCACAGAAAACTTCCGTTGTCAAAATAGATGGTCTATTTTTGTATTACTGGATCTATTGTGCACATGGACCATAAGTGGATATGCAGATCAAGCAAGTATCTAAATTGATTTAATTTGGTTGTTGGTAAAATAATGTCAAAAGTATTGCTTCAAAATCTTAATCCTGGATTAAATGGCTAACTTTAGCAAATGGAATATCTTTTCTTTATTTCTATACTCCCATGAGAATTTTAAGTTTCATTACTGAAATATAGTCACTGCTTAACTAACTAGCAAAATAACTTGCCATTAGTAGCACAAGTTAATTTTTATCAAATAGAAAATTTAACTTGGTAACACCACCTTCAGAAAAAATAGGATTTATGGAGCTAATTTTTTTTTCTTCTTTTTTTTGTGTGTGTGTATTAATATTTGCAAATTTCAGATGTATAACAATTTCATTTGAATTTGTTTTTGTTTTCCATATCACAATTAAATTATATTAGCCTGAACGGTTAAGCGTATTGACATCAGCACACATCAACAACAAGTCTAGGCAGGAAAAATTAACAAAAGAATAATTTCCCAACATAATTCTATAAAAGACAATAAGAATCAAATCAATGCTGTGTCCAAATATAGAATCAACTAAGTAGGTTCCAAACACTGACCTAATTTTTCTTTTTCTTAATTCTTCATCTTCACCTAAACTTATCACTTACTTGACACATGAGGGAACAAGAGTGTGGGCCATCTTGCACAAGTTCTTCTTTTCATAGTCTTATTTTAGACACAGACCTCACTCGCTTGTTTATTCTACTCTGGCAGTGAATTGTAGAAAGTGATAAAAGGAAAACAATGATTGTCCTGGTATAAGAGATCAGATATTCTGCTGATGTCAGTTTCCTGCTCTCTCTCAAATTCTTAAAACAAGTGACAGCTTTACAATGAAATTTTAAACACTTAATATTTTTTTATACAGAAGGATTCTAAATTCATACTTTTTTTTTTAAAAATGGATTCAGACATTTTTGACTTCTCTATTTCTGAAATAATAAACTTTACCAAATTAGTTTCACTTCCAAATGTCTTTTCATCTGTTTGTCGTGTTATGAGATTTTTAAAAAAAAAAAAAAAAAAAAAAAAAGAAAAAAATTCAATGATTGCCTTTGCCATTAACAAAAAAAAATTCAACTCTATTTCCTTTTACCTTTTGTCTTTATTATTTTCATTATGTCTTCTGTGAAAAGGTTAGAGGCAGTGAGAGTAGAGAACCGAGCTGGATTGAAGAATATTGCTCAAACATTGATGGCAAAAGGTAAGTGTTGCTTTCTTTGTCAATTCAGTCTTTTGTCTCTCTTTCATTTGGCTGGATGTCAATTTTCTGTCATCATTCTAAAACATTTTCTGTTTGCTTTTATTAACATATTCATTCAAACTTTTACATCATTCTAATAAAAATAATAATTTTATTTATAGAAAACGAGTAGCTTTTTCCTTGTTTATTCTTTTAGTTTTTCTCCAATTTATTATTTATTGTGAAAAATGAAACAATAACTATGGGCCCAAATTCTCTTGACCTATTAATTAAAACTGATAGTTTTAATATAAAAAATATGCTTTCTTTAAGATTTCTGTGTGATTTGATTATATCCATAAATGTATACCAAACTCATCTCCCGCTTGTTAAATTAAAAGACATTTTGGTCTTCATTAAGTAAATATACAATCCACTCAAAAATGAATGATGAAATAATAAACTAGAATAAGTTAAAATGAATAAATGAAACCTTTCTTAGTTTTCTAATATGATTTTGACTTTATCAGACAAGTATATGATTGGTGGAGTGTAGCTAAGAAAAGCAGGACTTGACAGTAACATAGTGACAGAAAAACACACACACACTCTGCTCAGAGTTAATTCACGTTCCCTGCCCCTCCCTACTCACTGATTCAGATAATCATCTTTACACACTAAATGAACATTGATCTCAAACACAATTTGTTTGATAATCTGCCAGAAAAATATTTAATCTGGCACAAGGATGTATATGTGGAGCACTTGAAATCAAACCTGCTCACAAACCATTAAACTATGATAAATAATTTGAAGTATTATTCTAAACTAATCTTTTCCCAGGGAACTCTCTGCAGACTGAACTCCCCGTCAATAGATTGCGAGAGCTATGAATTTACATTTGCTATAGGGATTTACTAAGCTTAGTTTATACTGGCACAAGGCTAGTGTTATGGAGCACCCAGTAAAGAATGAGCTCATTAGAGTATTGATGATCTGTGAGACAAATAAGCATTATTCTATACTAAGGCACCTAATCTGCATTCAATATAGGTACATTTGTGGGTGGGGAAACATTTCATTCTTTTTTTTTTTTTTTCTCTCTCTCTCTTCCAGCCAAACAGGACTGTTCCAGTGCAGGTATTTTATGGGCAGAGTCCATCTTTATGGAACCTCGACCCCAACGCAAAACCAATTCCGTAGACGCCTTGAAGAGATGTGAACATGACCCCCACGTATTGTTAGCAGTTTCTAAGTAAGTACAATACATTGTAGTGACACATATTTTTATTATTAAAACTCACAGAAATTCTGGACTGCATCTTTACAATTTAGAAGTAATTTTTATTAATGAAGAAGACAGAAAAAATCTTTTTGCATATTTAATGTCTTTAGTTCTGTTTTATGAATGACATTTTTATCTGTTGTGATGTCCTTAGGAAATAATAATAAGATTCAGTTCTCATGGCTTTTTTCATAAGAACTTTTATTAAGATAGTTTATTAGAAACAAAATAAATATTTTGCTATTTCAAGTTAAAAGTTGCTCTGTATTGAACTAACAGAACTTTTGCACCAAGATCCCAACAAATATAACTTTTGTCTTTTTAAAAGATAAAACAGATACTACACTTTAGTCTGAAGGAAGAAAGGATTTTATGTTGTTAAAACAATATTCAAATCACCTAATATCTAATTCGCAACACGATTAATTGTGCATCTTCTCTTCCCTTTATCGAATTACATGACAATGATTAAGGACAATGGAAATTGCTTTAGTTTGAACCTTTCCTGGTAACCTTTGCTATTCAATGATAAATGAACATTTACTCAGATCTACATCATTTTTCACTTTCCCACCTCTCTCTCTCTCTCCCACAGATTATTCTGGACTGAACGAAGACTTACTAAGGCTAGAGAGTGGTTCAACCGAACAGTCAAGATTGACCCTGATTTAGGAGATGCCTGGGCATACTTTTATAAATTTGAGAATCTTCATGGCATTGAGGTAAGTTATATATAATTTTCTGGCCAGTTTCAGAAGTTGCAAGAAACTTTTTTCGTGTTATTAAATTATTCTTTCATTAATTGGGCTTTTAAAGAATTTTTTTTAAATTGGCTTGTTGCCAACTTGACTCATGGAATAAATTGTGAAAATTATTGCTTTGAACATTTTCTAACTACTCTGCAAATCTCAAGACATTTCTAAAGAATTGGTAACAAAAAAAAACATGTAATTATCAAAAATCTTTAAAATAAAAAAAAAAAGACTTGTTTTGTACTCATAGGGAAAATGCAGTGCTAGACTATTTTCATTTGCAAAGCTGAAGGCAAATTTCTCACATTCATTTGTTGTATTATTTTTTTATCCTTTGTCTCTGATGAAAAAAAAACATCAAATTAAACTTAAATAATAATTAATAACCCCATTTTTGATTTTTGCTTTATTTCAACCACTGCAATGAGGCATTAATGTTGACTGTTTCAATCCATTTATCTTGGTTGTTGCCTATTAAACATCAACAATTCACTTAGAAATTGATGTCTGTTGACTCTTTGCAGATTGTAGTTTATCCTGAAATTCACTTCTATAATCATATACAACTACCCAGTAGCCATTGACAATGTACCATGCTTGCAGCTTGGGCTTGTTGCCATGCCAGCTAATCTAATAATAAAGAAGATACCTTGGTTCTTTTTTCTTTCTCCCCCCCCCTACTGCTCATTGACAAACAACACCAGCCTGATGCTTGTTGAGTTTCTGGCTAGCTATGTAATGTTATCTTTTGTGTATATGAGAGAAAATTGCAACAGCCACTTGAGTAGGTTTCTTCAATTTATTCTGCTTTATTTTAGATCACATTTACAGATTAAAGTTCTAAAATAGAGACTTTGTGAACTGTATTTAGACCCCTTGAAAGAAATGGCAACCTACTGCCGGGAAAACCTTCTGCCTAGTCAGTCATAAATGAGAAAGAGACATGATCATTCAAGCGTGTATTATGGCAATCAACTGACTGACTGACTTAAACCCCATTATGAATACACTATCCTGCTTTGACATTAACCCAGGCATGTACTTGTACCCCCCTCCCATCCTGTAATACGCTCTATGCCTCTTGCACATTTTAATGCAATACTGCTAGACTTTTAACTGAAAAATATTTTTTTTTAATCGTTTCACCCCACACAAGACAATAAATGTCTTGGCTAACTGAACGAGTTAGCTAACATCCTGTCATGTCTCCTACATGTTCAATGGGAGGAGATAGTTCTGGGTATTGTGCCAGCCAGGGAAAATGTCATGCATATCTTGCAGAGCTTTTTGGCTAGTATGAGAATTATGTGGGCAGGCATTATTCTGCTGGAACAATACATTGCCGCCTTGTGGCATGAATGACAGAAAATTCTTAATATTCTAGATATATATGCCCCCTCTCACCAAAATAAATAGGTGGACAAGAATTGTAACTCTTGGCACCCCCACACCATGTTGGGCCTATGCGTAATGGGCAAATACACTCTAGATGATGTCATTCTCAAGGTTTATGTTGCCTGCACACATAAACAGCTATTATTTTCATCCAGACATCACCTGGTCTCCTCAGTGAATGCCATGGAGCTGCATACAATTCTACAGATGACCATATCACAACACCTCTTGGGTGGTGCACGACAGTGTTATGGTATTTGTGAAAGTTTAGCTAGAAGCATATGTCTTTTCATTCTGTTGGTTTCAATCACTGGAATGACTACAAAATCATCCCATTCTCTAAATTTAAAGATAAATCCTACAGATGCATGATGGGATTTCTTACTAATAAAAATGGACCACTTCTTGGAGTCAGAATCCTGTGATTATTTGACTGTATCTCTTTTGTGTGTTAACACCATTCTTTGGGAACTTTTTTTATTATTGTTGCTTTGTCTAGTTTTGATTTGCATACATATTGTTTTCTTAGTATTATTTAGCCCTGTTCTTTTTCTTTGTCTTTTTTTATCATTTATTGCAAACTTTGTCAATTCTGCCAATTACTCTTAACCATGGCCAATTACTAGACACATTACCTGATTTATAGCCTCATTAATGCTCTTGTTCATCCTTTGCAAAACACATCAAATGTGGGCTGTTAAAAATTCTTCTGTGAGGTGATCCAAAAATGTACTCTTTGGATCTCATAGTTAATATTTTGTATAAATGTTATAGTAAAACATAGGTAAACAATAAATGATGATCAGTTTTAAATTTGTATTTTTCTGCATCTGTTCACATCAATGAAACTTTTGGCATCCACTTACATCTAATCTTTTTAGTATTTACCATGTCATGACCTTTGTAATCATTCAAATGACTGAAAGCTTTGATGGATTTGCCTAATGAATCCTTGCAAGTGACATAAAAACCTTTGTTACTGGAGAAATTATATTGGTATTTATGGCACACAATTCATTCTGGACAGTTCAACTTTTTTTTTCCTCAATCTGTTGCACAGGATTGATTTTCAACTCATTTCTCTGGGTTTTTAGGCCCCCCCCCCGTTTGATTTGCTTTCTTTTGACTCACTAAATCTTCCCTTTTGCATTGTATTTTTAAAGAAAATGAAAAAAGAAGCTTTAACAGAAAAGTTCCATATTTTAGAGCAAGAAAATATGATTCTGTCTTCAAATGAAAGTTCATTAAAATAAGAATATATCAAACTGCAGAGTAGTTGAAACTATAGGCCACTGGTTCCCAAATGGTGTGGTGGAATGATTGAAAGACAAACATTTAGAAATAGTTTCAAAAAATCAATATACCAAAAATAAATATGAGTTCAAAATTTAAAATATTATTGTGGATTACTTATAATTGCATGCATGAGTCCCAGTATAAATAGTTATACATAATTATTGACCAATGTTATCATTGTGATATTTTTGCATTATATCATTTATTCAAAATATAGTAACGAGGGTCCTCAAATTAGAAGAAAGAGTTATCAATGATAAAGTTCCAACTTCAAATCCACAGTTATCTCTTTTTTTTTTTCTATTATTAAATTTACTTTTTATCATATAAAATTGGTTAGGCATAAGGAAATTTTAATTCTGAAAATACAGTTGAAAGAATAAAAAAAAGGTTTGGGTAACCATTGCTATAAGCTGTCAAAACTGGAAAAATGAGTCCTTGAAAAGTTTAAGATTTGATGACACTTTGGCTGACAGGAATTTCTATTGTAGTTTATAGATTAATCTATTTAGATAGAATCCTCTGAGCTTGTTCTGTCATGCATGTAAGATTTTTATTTTTTTTTCTTCTTCTGTTTTATGGTATTGTGAATCTATTTCTCTCTGTTTCTCTGACCTGTTTCATTCTAATCCTTAGTTCTGTTTTTTTGCTGTCGTCTGTGTTTCAGGAACAAAGAGAAGATGTAAAGAAAAGATGTATCAATGCTGAACCTCGTCATGGAGAACAATGGTGCCAAGTGTCAAAAGACATTCGCAACTGGCGCCTGAAGACATCAGAAGTACTTATGTTGGTCAGTGCGGCTATACCTGTCCCTTGCTGAGGACTATGTTACGGGTGGGGAAGGGTTTGGGTGGGGAGTGACACAGGGCTATTGGCAGTGAACTGGAAAGGAACTGTCATCTTTCTTTTCTTTTTTTTCTTCTTTTTCTTTTTTTCTTACTCATAACATAACCTTTTTCTTTAAGATAACCAGAAATTTTTAATAAATGTTTGGCTGGTGGATTGACATTCAGTGTGAGAAAAAGTAAAATAAATCTTTTAAATCCAATTCAGAGTCTAAGTTAATCATTCATGTGGCTTTTCAGGAGATTGCATTTACTGTTACAAATCATTTTTCCGCAGTACAGTAGAAAACTTTAAAACCAATTCTAGTTAGCAAATACAAAGAAGGCCACCTTCTTGCCTTGAAATAAGTTGAGTTTGGTCGCATCTGTTCAAAAATCAATTTCAGCGAACAAACTGCCAAGATTTGTAAAAACATTCAATTTGAATCAATCAAATTCCAGCTGTCACCATGCTGATAATTTAGAAAAAGACACAATCCCAAGTTTCTCTGTGTATACATAATGGTTGGCTTAAAATCCCCAAAATAAACTCTAGGTCAACCTTTCAACACCTTTATTCTCTAATGATTTAATTTTTGTAGGTGTGTTTGTAACTATAACACAGCAAAAACAGCACATTGTTGCAAGATTTTTTTTCTTAGGGAAATACAAATACCTTAGTCTGAAGAATAAAGCAGTTTCCTGTCCAATTTGAAGCCTGATAATGAGTGTGGTGTCTGCATTTACACTTACTCTAGTAATTATGATCTGATTTTTATATGTTTGTTTGTTACAAAAACTGAAAAGAAATAGATAAAAATTAAGTGATGACTAATTGTTGCATACAGTAATGCTGCCTTTTTGGAAAGAAAATTCACATAAATCTTTATAAAAATGTCTCATTATTTCACCAAACTGCATGGCTGCCTTCAGTAGCCTTTAAGCAACTTATGTGAAGAAAAAAAAAATGATGATGGATAAAATTTTTCATAGAAATATTAATGTAGATGTTTTTACTAAAAACAAAAAAAAATCTGAACATAGTTGACTTGAAAAGTAATAAGTGGGGAAAAATCTTTCACACAGGCTTTTTGCTTGATGATTGGAATAATACCCTGACTAAATATTTCAAGGCACAATTCTACTCTGCCTTGAATACCCCAGGGGCAAATGAGATTCATTTGAAACATTAATTTGATGAGCAGTTAATGCTCACAATCTAATTATACTGCGCATCATAGTGCAAGTGTCATGGATTGGCCATCATTGCACTGACAGAAACCTAATATTCTTTCTGAATTCTATCCAAGTGGCCATTTCCAGTCAGAAGATCAATTTACTTGAATTTCATAATTTTAAACAAATTTTGTATTTAAAGGAACATTTATTAAACAGATTGAATCAAACGTTGTTTATCGATCTGATATTAATTTCAGATCAATATTTGGGAGGACTGCTTTCCCTTTCCAATTTTTCCCTGATGATTAGGAGAGATATATAGAGACCTTTTTATACAGTATTTACTCAGCACCTGCCTAATAATAATTTTTTTTATATTTGAAAGAGGTTTTTGTCATGAGAAAGAAAATCAGATTTTGTGGTTCCCTCCCCCCTAAAGGGAACAAAAAAGAAAAAGAAAAAAAAAAATCTCATCACTCAAAAAAAAATATCATTCATACACATCCTGACCATTTTTCCTGTAGTTGTCCTGATTTGTATATAAGATGAACGCAATTAAAAAAAAAAAAAAAATCTTTATCACTTTTTAAACCCTTCACTGTTGTTTCTTTTTACTAATATTTTTCTCTTCTTCTTAATGTGATTTCGTTAATAATAATTATTATTTTTTAAAAAGTAATCAAAGTTTGCTTCAAAAAGAAAAAAAAAAAAAAATTATGCACTTTTTTCTTTCTCTTTCTTTTTTAACACTTCAGGGTCAAACCTGATTCACAGCAAATGGCAACAAAGGTAACCTTTCATTGTGGTCAGCCCGGGGTGGATCCTGGTTTGATCAATGACTTGATCCCCTCGATCCTGACCTGACTTACCCCACGTTGTAATTGATTTGATTATAAAGAGACCAAGATCGATTCGTTGCAGGTATCTTCGTGTTGGGTTGGTCCAAGTCGAGCGAAGTCGTACAATAAAACTGAAGAGAAAACAGCACTTGAAATATATAAAAAAAAAATAATTACTATTTTTATGTCAATACTGCATACAATGGTTTGTTAGTAGTTGTGTTCGCATGCAGGTGTTTGTCGACCCAACCCATTCCTAAATTGGATGCAACACTTGGGTAAGCTGGTAATGTTTGGCTTGCAGAGTTAGACAAATTTGTTTTACAGGTTTGATAAGTTTGGTTCAAGGCTGAAATCGGAGGTTCCTGTGTTCAGCAGGAGTTATAAAATCTCATAGACCTCCACAGCTTCCCTTCTCAGCTCTCAACTGCAACTCTGACTGGAGTTCATAAAAATGAATGCCATTCAACTAGAAACCGGTGCGTGGCAAGATGTAAGCTGGGTTTCAGTGATTTCCAACAAAAGTCTATTGTTTTATGTTTTGAGAAATTAAATTAATTCATAATTAAATCTCATGAGAGATGGGTGCAGGCATCACTCTGCCTGGCTGCTTCTACTCTATTACCATCTCCCACCATTGCTTTCTAGTGGGCGTGTGCAGCTCCTTCAACCTTCTTAATGTCTCTTCTGTGCCTACTACCATTCAGTTCGTAGTTCGTATCTTGGGCGTTTTCTCTTGTTGTCTGTCTTCTTACAGTTGATGGTTGATCCTTTTTTCTATGTGCCATGCATGATACACGCTTAGGCAATCATGTATCTCTTGATACATGACTGACAAGGCAGATTTTTTTTCCCACAGGTTGTTCTTTAAGAAATTGTCGGATATTATATGGATTAATCAAATGAAAGAGTCCTTTCATGTTGGTTATTTGGTTGGTTGATTTTGTTTAGCAACAACCTTTGTGGGTTTTTTTTTAATGATGAAATCTAATATTTTGTAAGTAATTTTATGCTCTCAACTACATATATTTCTTTTTCTTTCTATGCAATTGAGAGAAAATAGTTCATTATTTACGAGGTATTGTCAGGAGACACTAACCCCCCCTCTCTCTTTCTATCTCTTTCTATCTCTCTATCTCTTTATCTCTTTCTATCTCTCTATCTCTTTCTATCTCTCTATCCCCACCCCCCAACGGAATAGTCCATTATTTGGGAGGAGACATTAAACACTTCCATCTTCCCTTCTTTCTACCCAAATGCCCAGCTGACGAACATTTCTCTTAATAATATTTTAAAATAATTCAGCAGACGATGTTATTTTATTTATGGAAACTTGTTAGTTATTTTTTTATTTTTTATTTTTTTTTTGTTTTTTTACATGGTTTCCATCTTTCGATACTGTCCATCTGAAAAGTGTTGCTTTTATCGCCATCGGTTCAGGTAATTTTAAGTCTAAGACCCAGGGAGCGGCCTCCCCACGCAGTTTGGGACGAAGCTGGGTTTGTTGCTCGGCGCCTGAGTTGACCCCAAAGGGCGGGGGGTCTGGTGCTGAGGGGCTTGGTCAATTTTTCTACGGTATTGCCGTTAAACCCCTTTTCAACCTCAACAAACCATGTGTCACATTCGGTAGCGATGTGGGCGCGCTGAAAAATACCCCCCGGCCTTTTTGGTTGAGATGTGTTGTATCAACTTAAACTGATTCTTTCTCTTTCTTTCTTTTCCTCTTTCTTTCATTTTCTCACTGAAACCAAGTAATGTCTTTTCCATGCGATCAAAACGTGGAATAGTCCATTATTTATGAGGTATTGACAGGACATAACAGTCGTGCTAACTAACGAAGTGTGTGGGAGGGTGGGGGGGGAACAAGCAGATTTATAATGGTATGGTTCCCTAGACTTCTTAAAGACGGGAACTACAGAGGATTTCTAATTAAGCTGGAAAGCAAGAATTAGAAAGGGATTTATTGAGTTTGGAGAGAACAGGAGTACATTTCTTTAGAACAATTGCAGGAATCGTGCTCCTGAACTGGCTCTTTTAATTATTGAGGTGAAAATATATAGAAAGCGCATTAATTACTTAATCTACGTTAAATCTATGTCCAGGTTCCTACAGTATTTCACCTTCCTTAAAAATAGCAGTGCTATTACAATATGGAATATTAAAACAAAAGCAGTAAGAAACTGAAGGAAGTCGGTTAGGTTGTATATCCAGATGCCAGACATTTAAAATTTAAACGTAAAGCAGTTTTCGATGTATAATTAAGATAGATTTATCCGTAATTTTGTTCATTCTCACTATCTATTTAATATTTCATCAATAAAACCATTTATTCTGAGGAAGTCCTTTCGAAAACCGAGACGGGTTACATAGGATTTTCCTTTTTCTATTTTACATTCAATTAGAAGATTGTGTTTCTGTTTTTAGGGTTTTTTTTTTTTTTTTTTTAGATAAATAAATGACAAAAGAGCAAATACTGTGTGTGTGTGTGTTTGTCCGTGTCCCCCCCCAATCTCCAAAGTTTGTCGTCTAATAAAATAGCCAGTTCTCGCTCAAATGATCTCAAATTTTAAAATGTGTATAAAGCTAAGTTGACTTCTAGCAGGAAGATGGATCGGGCAGTGATAATGACAATGTGCTGTTGAAATGGCTAACCACGTTCACCTGATTTGATACCTTGTGTTTTTTTTTTGTTTTTTTTTTTATATGGGGTTATTTGGAATGACAGGTTTATACTCTCCCGCCTTTTCTTAGAGGAATTTAAACAGAGAATCACTGAGGCGCTGGAGAATGTTACTCGTGTTTGGCAGGAACTGGACCAAGGCCTTGACGTGTAGTCGTGTCACAGGTGGTTCGTATATTGAACATTTGTAAAATTTTTGAAATCGGTTATAAACATGCAATTACTTAAATATTCACATTTCAAATTATGTCATTTTTTTTTTTTTTTTTTTTTTTTTTTGGTGGAGGGACAACCTGTT